TAGCATTGAGCGATTGTACATGTTTCATATCCCTCACTTCACAATAACAACCTTATCACTATACCATTAAAGACTAATGTTTAACGATCCCGTATTTCACAGGACGTCCCATGTTTCTTTCAGAAATTTCAATGTCCCACTGGGACAGACTGTATCCTGTCTTTACGGAAATCTACTGAAACTAACCGGACACGAGACGAGTGTGGGGAAATGTAATAGTCTAAATAAAATAGAATATAATAAAAAAACGCATTGTATTTTCTTTGTCCCAAGTGATAAACATAAATGTATAAGGTTTATCTGTTCCTCTAGGATAAAAAATAAGTTAACAACCCTATTAAACTCGAAGGACATAAAACGGTCGTCGACTGCATAGAATCCATTCGATATATTGGATGGGAAATTCTGATAGATTCTGTAAATCACTTTGTGTTATTCTAGAAGATCAATTGATTTATAAAAAAACAACGTAAAGGCACATATATGGTAAGAGAATATTACATAATTATAGGAACCTATATAACAGAAAATTATTATTTTTTATTTCAGATTATTCTAATGCTGTTGGCTGCAACTTGCCTTTAAGGCTCTACTGGAGGATAGGTGGCGAATGCAGATGGCACTCCAAACCCGTGGAAGGACTTATGGAGCGGCTGAAGACCAGCTCCCTGACGAATACTTTAGTCTAAGGGCACCACTAGGGATTCGAACCTTGGCTCAGGCCGTTGTAATTTCGATCCCCGTTTGAATTGGAAGGACTCAAAAGTATTCATAATAAGTAAATAAGTAATAAATACATCAAAATAAAAAATAGCTAAATAAATATAAATCTCTAGCTAGACACTAACTGTCATATAAATTCATTGATTTTCGTAATAAATTATTCGTGATACCCAATTGCAATACGCTTCATTCAATGTAATTAATACTAATTAACCGCATTTATTTCCAATCAAAATAGTCGTAGTACTCCAATTAGTGACGTACAACTGATATGCAAATAACTCTTTTTATTGATTAAATATTTCTATTCATTACATCCTCATAAGAGAGGATAACATGAAGAGAAAACGTGAACACCCCTGTTGCGAACTGTTTTTTATACCTTTTTTATTGTCTATGTTTTTTATAATACTATATTGTTTTACATATATGACATAAGTAAATATAATTTTTGCGACGATATCGGTGGATTTTTGTTTGCTCGTCTCATCTTGATCTACTTCCTTAGGTGTTTTTTTAATAAAATAAATAATAATAATAATAATCTAAAATAGCCCTGGCCAATTCCCACAGTGTCATCTAGTCCCAAGTTAAGCAGTGCTTGTGGTATGGGTACTAGACAACTGATATAAATACATAGATTTTTTTGTATTCATAATATTTACGTATTTACAAAATATCACCCAGACCGATTCAAACAATCATACTCATGAATACAAATGTTTGTATCGTGCGAGGAATCGAACCAGCGACCATAGGACGTAAATCATTGACTAGACCACTGAGGTCGACAAAAAAAATATTAACAAGTAAGAAAAAAGAAAAATAAGAATAGAAGAAACTTTTCACTATCCACCAATGCCCTTGTATCAGCGAGTCGTTTAATATCCGGTAGATAAGCTTTACCGCGGTCTGGTTCTATAGTTATTTCCATATAAATGGAAACGGGGTAAAGAAACGTCTGACCAGTAGGTTAGCGCATACAATGCCGTAGGAATGATGACCATGTTCCTGCAGTATGTAATAACTCACTTGCGACTATACACGAGAGTATAATATATGTACAATACAACATTTCTATACTTGTGTATGCTTTAATTAATAAAATTACCTAATTTAATTTTTTATGTAGTAAAGTCATGTAATCGTACAGGAGAGTTTTGTAATAGAATATTATCTTGCCTGTGCTAATATTTATAATATCTGTCACTAGCCCTATCGTGTAGTTGAACTAGTTGCTACAGTTAAAAATAACTCAATTACTACATTTTTTATTGCATTGTCAATGGATTTTATAAAACTACTAGATACTCGCCCCGGCTTCGCACGGGTGTACATGTATTATATATATAAACCTTCCTCTTGAATCACTTTATCTATTAAAAAAACTGCTTCAATATCCATTGCGTAGTTTTAAAGAATTAAGCATACATAGAGACAGACAGACAGCGACAGCGACTTTGTTTTATACTATGTAATGAAGAGTATCATACGAGCTGAGTGGACAACAAAATATAAATAAATCTATGTAAGAAAAAAGTACACAAAATGAAACAACTCTATACCACGCCGTCTGGCCGGCTAGTCTTGTGATGTTTCATCAAAATAAACCCAGTACTTTTTGCGTGATAGAGTAACAAACATCCATATGTCCATCCACACTCACAAACTTTCTCGTTTATAATATTAGTAAGATTTTTGAAGATAATGTTAACAGAAAAAAAAATCATCAAGAAATTCAGTATCTTTCTTTCCTTATTCCACATCAATTAGGGTCAACGTAATATTTTTTTCTCTTCTATTCATTTCTGTTCGCTGTCATCTCGACATTCCCTCCAAAGAAGAGGTTTGATTATTGGCCATTAAAAAATATATTCGTTTAAAATCGGTTCACTAAATGACTATCTCAAATAAACTTTAATGTTGTGACATCCACAAATTGTCTTTGCTCAATAAGATATTTTTTTCAACAGTTATTCCATTCCCTGCCGTCTAAATTAGAATTTGAATGCAAAAATTATAGAAGATTAATCCACAATGTAAATAAGGATGTATTGTAAAATACAAAAGCAAAATATGTATACAATTGGTAAAAGGTCACAACTCCTCGCGAGTTGTGACATTTTACCAATTCAATGGTACTCACAATGGCAAAACTTACGAAGAATAGAAGATAAAAATTACACTCTTTTTAAATATAAAATTCTAGTTACAATATCTCCTATTAACAATAGCTATTGAAATACATAAATTTAACAATAAAGTTCCAATAAAAATAAGTGAAACAGAGGTTCCCAAAACTACGACATAGTAAAAATATGTAGTCAATTGTGTGTTCGTAAAAATCATATTATCACGAGTTTTAAAACCTACCTCGAAGGTAGTACAGCATGATGTATACTCGGAAAGTGGCCTCAGTTATATTCTACTCCGAGTTATTTACTGCTTCGCTAAGGCTTTCATGATCTTGATATAATACCATAAAACAGCAATAACTTGAGATAACCCTAAAAGTAATCTCCTACATATAGATACACCAGCTATGCCCGCGGTTTCACCCGCATGAAATTTGTAGTCTATGTGTTATTTGATGTGTAAGTTATATTACTGTAAAGTTTCATCAGAATCCATTCAGCAATTTTTGCGTGAAAAAGTAAGAAACATCTATCCATCTATCTATACTCACAAACTTTCGTATTTATATATCATATATATATGTATGTATTTTTTAAAATTCATAACCATAAATTTATGAATTTTAAAAAATCAAATTAAATCATAAACATAAATTTTCACCAAACAAATAAAAAAATATTACTTGGGATTTAACCGTTATCACTTAAAGATATGAAAAATAGTTTACGTCCTATTCTCAGACACACACATTTCACAATCATACTTCACTTTCACTTCATATACACACAAAATTTCATAATAATCGGTCAAGACAGTTTAGAGCAGCTTTGTTACGAATGTGACACGAGAATTTTATAATAGATATTTAATTCAGCTACAATTTTAGTGTATGGGTACATATAGTGGGGTATATATATGCTTCAAGTTAATAAGATGTATTCTAGTTCCAGTAATATTTTAAAAACAACAAACTTTCTCGCAATTCTCGTAGTCACGCGTGACTCTACGTCAAGAACACTTGACGAAGGTCTAAAAGTGAGGACGAATGGTATCATTAATCTTTCGGTTACGTTCAAAATCGCTTCTTAATCCCTTGTTGCTTTTATAATACTCTATAAATTCTCAGAAAACAAAATTCTTCCCAAAAAGTGTGCGTAACGTCACGTTGTAGAAACTTTTTAAAAACAGGAATAGTAGTAACAATTCCCTTCTACAGTAATTATAATCACATAATCTCCTTTTAAAGATTTCAGAATTATATTAACTTTTATTAACTTCGATTTTTTTATATGATAAAATAAATGAATTTGAGTTTTAAGTACACGAAATGGTAACTAATTCAAACCTTCTTAAACAAATTAGTGATGAAAATATTCTCTCAGTCTATGTACATAACTGTACATATTCAATAAATCGATTTACTGCATTGGAAAATATGACCTTAAGTTATATTTATTCAAAGGAATTCTTATATAAAATAGACTACATTTTAAAAATATACGAATATATCGCGACAACTACAAATACGCTAAAATGTGTATGTAATACGTTAACATAATTCGCAAAGCATCCCTTTATGAGGCAGTTTCATCTGAGAATCTTACGAAATATTAATCCGAGACGAAATTCAAGGTTATGAATTATAAATAAGCTGCTTTCTGGTCCTAGAGGAAAAGTTAAATAGGTAGTGTAATACTGAGTACCGTAGCCATCAACAAGCGATCCAATATTCCCGAGAGATCTTACGGGAAGATCGTATTTTTATACGACGAGTTCCGCCGCTGAATGTTAAAGAGGCTGCGACAACATATCTAATTGCCTCTCGGGCGTTAAACGATCGTGGCACAATCTCTGGAACGCGACACGAAAATCAATAGACACATCTTGAGATGACTCTCCACTAGTTCTCGCCAAGCATCCGTGTCTGATCCAACATTTTATGTAATTCGTTTGTTGACAGTGGGTGGGCTGCAACGTTATCAGGTGCTATCGCCAGCACGCCGACTCCGTGCCCCCTCCCGAGTCGACGTCCTACCACGCCCTTGTATCCTAGAAGATGCTGCGTCATGGACCACTCATCATCTCCCTAAAACAACAGCTTTCCATATTCCACCAACATCAAACATTATGTAATTACTTACCCGCGTGTGCAGTGTCCCGGTTTGGGCGCCATTTGGCGCGTGGTGGTGCCTCGGCGAAAAAGAATTGCGCGGAGGTGCGGCCACGGCGACGGGCGACGCACGACTGCCGCTCTGCAATGAAGCGCGTGCGTGGAGCGAAAAGGACGCATGTGCACAAATACTTGCGATTTGTTTTGCTCTGCGTCTCTCCGTATTATCAGGCTTTCGTTAAAAGCCGCAGAAAACGAGATTATACTCTTGTACTGATACAGCGCGCGTTGCGAAGCATTCCAATGAACGTCGGCTAAAGTTTACAGAGAGATTGTCGGCTCTTATTTGTATTGTTCGACAAGAATTGCAAAGGATAACACAAGAGATTTTCTTCTTTGCATATAAAATTTTAAACATTCTTAGTGCGACTTCAGATCGTTTCCGTTACTGTTTTACAATGGTCATTGGAATTATAATATGTACGCAATAACTTGCTTTTTACCAGGGTGGCTAATTACTTGTTTACTTTTCCTATTACCCGTTGCACAAGTTTTTTTTAAGTTTGTGGACAATTCAAAACAGCACTGTATAGTCATACATAGTGTTATTTTATTCAAAAGAGCAACACACAAGTTTCTTGCTCATTCTTCTTGTAATGAATCTGCTTCTCAATGAGTGGTAGAATCAAAAATATGATTATTCAAAAGTGCTTGTACCAATGTTATCTGTGCTTGTACTGAATTTATTTGAATAAAGATTATTTCTATGTTAATTGTCCTGTATTATTTTTATTAAGTGCATTTAAAAAGAAAAATATGTATGTATTATATTTTGTTGATGAAAAATATTTAAGTTTTATAATTTTATATTTTGTTGAAGTATACGTTAGTAGAACCTTGCACACAAAATACTTGGAGTCTTCATGTAAAAACAATAGGATTTTCCTTTAAATATTAAGTTAATGATATCCTAACCCCTGCATAAAATCTTTATAACATTAATAGGTATACCAATGCGGGTTTCGAGTAGGGTTGCCAACATTACAAAACTTAACCTCGTACGAACAAATAAAAAAAATCTATTAAAAAACGTGATTTTATATTATCTACATATGACACTCTAATCTCGTATTTTCCCTAGAAAAAATTTCGTAGAACCTTGTATGAGGATGAAAATATCCTTGTCACAACGGTATTTTTTTGTGTATGATAATGGAATGATGCACCCGCCTGCGCTAACAGTTTATGCTGGCGGGGCTCCAGTGGAAGATGTTAAAGTAAGCACAAAGTCCGGCCCTTTAGCCCATATTGGCAAATGGCAATTTACCATGATGCTTTCCAGGCAATAATATTAGCATGAAATCAATTTACCCATATTGGCAAATGGCAATTTACCATGATGGTTTCCAGGGGGAACCGCATGTAGATCAACCTACATTTAGGGGTTATTAGTTCACTTTACTAACAATCCCTCCTCCCCTCGTATTGAAGGACAAAATTCTCGTATACAAGCAGTCCTAGTACTTACGGCATGTTAGGTTCCCGAAATACGCGACGTAAATCTAAACGACGTAAGTTAAGATATATTTTTTCATATGTGAACATGTAAAGCTCAAGGGTTAGGATTCACATTCCGCACGGACTCAAAATAAAAAAAACAAAGCAGTTTTTAACAAGGGATAAGTTTATTTTATTATTAAAAGTAAGTTCGACGATGTAAATCGACACGATGTAAGTTGATACTGCCTGTATATTAAGATCTTTTCACGGTTGGCATCCCTGGTATGGAGCGAGATAAAACGGCTCGGCTGGGTCGGGGTTGCACATCGTCTCCCCATTTTACGACTCTCGACGGCTGTTTCTTTACTTTGTCATATTTTAATATTATATTACTACCACGTTTCAATACATTGGTAAGCTTAGGTTATACTTACATATAGTCTTTTTTTAAGTACCTAATTATGTTTATGTAATATAAATAGATAAGAGGAAAAGGTGATTTTTAGTACTGTGGACTGAAGACCTCCATTGCTAGCAATGTATTGTCGAGTTGGCCTTCACGTGTTCCCCCTGAAAACCATCGTCATAAATTCCTGCAGAATTTTCATAAAAAAATCAGCCATTTTGTTATCATCCATTAAAAAATATATATGAATGTGTGTTATGTATACGAATAATCATAATAATATAGGTATGTAATATGATGTTATCTGTGATATAGGTTTAAATTTGATGGGTGGTAGATAAGTTATTCCAACAGATCCAACCATTTAAAATAAAGACTTTGCTTACAAAATATGAATCAGTGAGTAACTAACATTTGACTTTGCTTGACGCGTACCTAATTACCTACACACAAATGTAATGAAATTATTCAATTTAAATACGAATCATATTAATATTATAAATGCGGATGTTTGTGAGTATGGATGGATGAATGGATGTTTGTTACTCTTTCACGCAAAATCTATTGAATTAATTTTGATGACTGAATGGACTTTACAGTAATATACTCCATGAAACTTATACATCAGAATTAGACTTAGGCTATAAATTTCATGCAGTTGAAACCGCGGGCACAGCTAGTTAAAGATATAACGGGTACCAGCGGTAGTTCGAGCGCGGCAGGTAACAGAAACTTTTACGTCTGCATCAAACTCAGTAGACATTTATCGCCCAATTCAAATAATATATTTTTAAATTAAAGCTTATGATTTTTCTGATACATAAGTTATAATAATTACTGTATATATTAATATACTGTATAGGTACTTTCATCAAAATCCGCTCAATGGTTTTTGCTTGAAAGAGTGAGAAACATCCATCCATCCATACCATTCTTTATCCAAACTAATCCGTTATTTAACAATAATAAGATTCAGTTGCTAATATTTTATTGACCAATAATTGTGTAAAAAAGGGGATCATTTAACATTACCTAAAATTAATCAAAATATTTATATGACGATTCATGAAATGCTTATACGGAGCCTGGTCAAAATCGTTTAACAACGAAATGTTTGTAGTGATCCTAGATTAATAATAGATTGACAATTTGACACTTGAAATCTAGTCGTATTTATTAAAAACTAAACGGTTATTAAAAAAAAATAAGCTTAACATCTTAATCTTATTAATATTATAAACGCGAAAGTTTGTGAGTATGGATGGGTGTTGTCCCTTTCACGCAAAAACAACTGTACGGATTTTGATGAAACTTCACAATAATATAGCATATACATTAGAATAACATATAGGCTATGAGTTTCATGCGGGTATTACACAGGCAACATGCAGGCATAGGTAATGATAAAATAAAGAAAGCAAATTCATAAGAGCACGACCATTATCCTGAGAAAAAAAGCATTGCCTACAGAAGCGCAGGAAGAAGTATGGAGTACACGGTTAATGTATTTAGGTAGGGACAATTCGACAATTCAGCCCCTTATCCAAGGTACACAATCGTCACGTACGTATGAACCCGCTCGGACCCTCGTGAGGTCTTATCACGTACTAACCCCCTTTCCCCGACCCCCCTCCTCCTAACTAGCTACTAGGTTACCTATACTTTATTTGTATGTACATTCGATCGTACAATCATGTACATACATTATAAAATCCCCATACATTTAATATAATAGACTCCAATCACTGCCGTGTAACGATGAAACACATGTGATACATGTTATAACGAAATGCACTATGTTAAATTTAGAAAAAGATTTCATTATGAAAATATACTAGATATGGAAATAAAATTAGAAAATTAATGGTAGGTAAAAATGATCGATATTTTTCGAGTATGCAACAGGAGTCTTGAAAACAATAAGTAGGTAATAAGAGTTTATGTATATATATATATATATTTCTATGTTATTTATATTATATTTATTATATATTATGTATATGTGTATGTATTTTATATATTACTATTATTATTTATGTTTCTTTCATTCCATCATGCGCCATCCACCGCCATCACCTTCTGTCTTTTCTCCTCTACTCAAAGGTTGTCTGGAAGAGATCGCTTAAGCGATAAGACCGCCTATTTGTACCCATATAGGTACTCTAAATATTGTTTTCTTATTAATTTATTTTTTTGTTAAGATGCAATAAAGTGTAATAAATAAATAAAATAAAAATAAGTAGGGAGTGTAAATATTAATGTATAATTAGTGTATTTTTTTAGGCATGATAATGGAATGGTTTACGCTGGCGGGGCACCAGTGGAGGATGATAAGACGAGCATGAGGTCAGGTCAGTTAGCCCATCGCGACAAATTCATCAGAAATTTATCACGATGGTTTCCAGGGGGAACCGTGTGGAGGTCAACCTGACATGGTACATTGCAATTATAATAAATAATAATTTAAGAAAAAGAAATAAAATAAAACTTAGGAATATATATACAGTATAATAATAAAAAGGCATAAGCCAAAAGGATGTCTCCACAAAGAAAGCGACAAATATTACGTAAGATCCCTAAACACTGTATCTATGTAGGTATATGTTTAGGGACCTTACAATATGCGCTAACGGGGGGAGAATGGAATTGTTAGTAATAGGGTCTAGTGTTCTCATTGCTTACAATTTACCACGTTAGGTCGACCTCCACACGGTTCCTTCTGGAAACCATTGTGATTAATTTCTGGTTATTTACAATACGTTAGGAATGAAAACTGAAAACGATGGATCAACTGACCTGACATCATGCTCATCTTATAGTCCTCCACTGGTGCTCCGGCAGCGTAAACCGTTAGCGAAGGCGAGTGCACCATTTAATTATCATCTATAAAAAAATGCGCTAACGGTGTACGCTGTCACGGCACTAGTGATAGGATAAGTATGGAGTCATGTTGTGGATTTATTAATTATCATCTTGTTAGAAATATACTTGCCACTCTCTACCATGCCGGCTGGCCAGCAAGGTAAGAATAAACTAGATCGTTCTGCAATTAATACTGACCCGCGCAACAACGAAACGATAGGCGGTAGTTATAACTGTGGGCTAATTATCTAACTTCGTTCGCAACGATTTTCGTATGTAACGTAGTGAAAATGACGTCATCTGTCAATAATGCGATCATATTGACGCCATTTGACGCTGTCAACTAGCATTGCAACGTAAACGCAACTTTACATATCGATAAAAAATTTTTGTATCGAATGTCGATTAGGTAACCTCGTTGCAATGTCACGTAATCGCTATTTTGCCGATATGACAGCTTGGCAATGAAGCGGTTTTTACAATAAGAGAAACAAGTCAGAAGGTTTTTCTTAGCTACGTAAAATTCGTTTCTTAAAAGTGATATAGGTTTTATTTTCGAATTTTCAATTTTTTTTTTTGAAGTTTATCATTTTATATATTGCACACAATGGCACGTGCCATACTATTAGCTTGGGCTGAAGAAGAATGTAAAACAATTTATTAAAAAGGAGTCGCCGTCTCATGCGAGATGCTAGTGACCCCTTGGCACTGCCGTCGAGCGAGTTTGTGGCTCAATTCCGCCTAACTAAAGACGCGTTTTGCGAATTGTGCCAGGAACTGAGGCCGTTTTTACGAACCTGCAAAAGAAGCACAATGATACGCGACGAACTTAAAGTAAGTACCTACCCATATCTTATTTTCATTTTACAACGGCTTGGAATACCATTTTTGTCAATTTGTAAATAGTGACAAGCTTTAAAATTTTACATAATGTTCTCCTTTTTTATCTTGTTCTTTCGCTCAAATAGTAATCAATTGTATTAGGTTATAATATATTACAAGTTCTCTGCTATCACCATACAGATTAAACTTTTGATTTGTTAAAAATTACTCAATTGCACAGAATGAGAAAATTGGGGTTATAATTTTCTGAATTGATGAAATTTCTGAAATAGATGTGTATCTAATGTTTATATATTTTTACGTGTTTAGATCCTCGCTGCCTTGTCCTTCTTTGCGTGTGGTTCGTATCAACGTAACATTGTAAGTTCGTACCTGCACAATATGTCCCAACCAAGTTTTTGCAATTGTTTAGATGAGGTTACCAATGCACTAAATTCACCAGAAATATTAAAAAAAATTATTAAATTCCCATCTAGTAGGAGAAAAAGGGAAGATATTATGACAGAGTAAGTAACAAATGTTTTGTTATCTGAAAGTACCTATCTTAAATAACAAGGAGTTGGTTATTTTAATTCATTTGCACTTTAAAGATACACAATGCTAGCATCATAAATATATATTATACATAATAATCTATTACTATTATGTCATAGGCATTTATTTTATTATAGCCTTTGTGCTGATGGTAAAGTTAGTTAGTATTGTTTATTTATTACTTCTCTGTCTAGGTTCATCAGCTTGTCCTATGACATAGGACTCCTCTGTCCAACACTTTCTTTCTCAATGTGGGTCCAGCCACGGCCCTTATGTCATCCTCCCACCTCTTTTTCTGATTATTAATATATACAAGTTGTTACTATATTTTGTATGACTAATGTATATATATAATAATTTTAATCTATTACAGATTTATGAATATTAATGGCATGCCAGGAGTAGTTGGATGCATTGATGGGACCCATATTGCTATTATACAGCCCATAGAGTATGAAGAGGCATATTTTAACAAAAAAGGGTATCATTCCCTTAATGTCCTTGCTGTAAGTTTAAAAGAAATTTGTATAATGTTTACAGAAATTAATAATAATAACAATGTATAAAATCTTCCTGTATATTTTTCATAGATACCTATGATTTCATTGTATTTGGATTGGTTAGAATTTTGAGTTGTTTTATTAAAATTTATTACTACTTGTTATATGTATCTCTATATGTTACAGATTAAACAAAAAATATGTATAAATTTATATATTACAATTGACACTATTCAACAAAAATTCATAAAATTTTAATTTACCACAAACGCAGTCATACATATTGATGTCCCCCCATCTAGACACGCGGTAACGTGTCAAGCCGAGTTTCAAGTAAACTGGCAAGCAGCACCGTGTGTATATTTACACGAACCATTTGGAGCCACTTTTGACCCCCTCATAACTCTTTCACACAAACCTGTCAAATTTGGTTCATATATTGAGACTTGCGAGATAAATATGTGTTCCAAATTTCATAAACATATCTCAAACGGTTATTTAAATATTAATGTCCAAAAATCGTCATTTTTATCACTGATCAACTATAGATCAAAATTATAACCCACTTCCAGATGACCTAGGAAGTTCAAATTTGGCATGCAGATAGGTAATTAGGTGAATATAAAGGAAAAAATCTGAAACTGGTAAATTGTTATCATTTTACTACAATTTTATACTTTAATTGATTCTATTTCAACTTATACTGGACAAATACTAAAATTCTATGAAAACGTCGATAGCCACCAATTGACATTGATCCTTGGCGAAAATATCTCATCTTGTACTGGACGGAAAGTAATATTGTATGAAAACGTCGATCATTACCAATTTACGTTGACCCCTTCACATCAGTGTCGATAACTAGCAAACTTCAAATATTGCATTGAGCGGTAAACACTAGTTGCTATAATTTAGATTCTGTCTAAAATATACTCGTACTTATAACTAGGAGCAAAAAAATTAAAAAAAAAGACAATTAAACCCCGTAAATATACGAAAATACAGTAATTTATCAAAAATAATTTGGTATTAATTTAGTTATAAATAAGTACCTCGTATAATTTATGTACAAAAAGTAATGATATCCCATCAAAAACATAAATGTGAAATGATAGCCGAGTTTAATATTATGATATATACCTTGATTGTTGACTTCTACGACAAAAGAGATGAGATCTAAATGGGTGCCAAGTTCAATGGTCTGTCCTGAAATATATTTATAACAATATAAAATATCATTTCTTCTTATAACTTAGGATAATATACTGTAGCCTAAGGTCTAACTTGGCTATTTTCATATACGAAATATACTGTAGCCTTCGCAAGTTCTAAACATGTCACTTGTCGGTTCCTATTTTAATATTAGTAGTAACTAGCAATCGAAAGTAATAATTGGTATATGAGAATTTTAATATTAATTTAAAAATAATCGAATTTGGATTTGTAGACATGCAAAGTCAACTCTTCTATATTACATACAGAAAAATTATTGGTTCAAATAAAAATTTTATGTTAATAACTTCTAAAAATAATTTTGTATTATTTTCAATTCAACGTACGCTTTTAAGAGTTTGAAAAACTGAACATCTATGTCTATATGATATGTTAAAAAACGAATTTACATCCTAGACATAATAAATTAATGTTCAGTGTTACCAACTAACGACTAAAGAAATAGCTAATTCTAACTGAGGCGATTTCATTATTGTCCACAAAACGACTTAAAGAAAGTTGTAGTTAATGCAATTAACTAAATAAAATATTGTCAAAACAAAGGATTTCTTATATTCCACACAAAAGTATTTAAATAAGTATTTTAACCACTCTTCGAAAGAAATGTGCTGCTTAACTAAAGTAGCATTGTAGTAGGAGGGAAACCATATACGACATTTTGACATGGGAAACAAACATGATATAGGAGGTTTGACAGCCAAATGTTGCTGTAAATAAAATAATTTAACAGATTTTTTACTTTAGGTTACAAAGCCATAAATATTTTTAGGTTGGCTACCCTGATCCCACACTAGTTTTATTATTTGGCAACACTGCTACTATATTCGAGAAACAAAAGTGTGACTGACTTGCTATTGCTAAAGGGATATTGTGTTTAATTTTCAAAATATATATTAAAAATGTCGACACTCGCAGCACCATTGTCCGTTGCAGGAACACGATCTTCGGGAGCTCCAGTTAGGACTCAGAATGGTAAGTATTTTATGTGAAAAGTCACGCTATGTTCTTGTTCCGGTAGATCACATGCAACTATACTCATGGTTTTATTTTCGTTAATATTTCAATAAATCAATAAAGAATCCCATAAAAGTGACCAAAATTGATAAGGATATATTAAAAATTGCATATAATTCGTATTTTAGTACACATTGCTGTATATAACTTTAGTTTACATGAGAAATAACCTAGGCCTGCGGTTGGCTGATTATTAGTAATAATTTGTCATTCACCCATATCTAAATTAATTTAATATTCATTCATTTATATTATTATCTTATAGTTATACACATTTGGATCATGCAGTAATGAATCAAACTTACAATGACGGTCTTAATAAATATGGATTATCCTAATTCCTTTGTATAAATACATATATATAATATCCTGGCAATAAGAAGCTGACAATTGGTAGATGATCTTGTGATATATGTTATTCTTACAACAGTTTCCTTGCAGATCACAGTGAGATCTGAATGCTATCTCCATCAATAGTTTATTTCGTTCTTTTATCAACATTATTTAATTATCGTTTACACTATATATATACTTATAAAATATATCACTTAAATAAACATAGATCTTGTAATTCATGTAAATTTGTTTCCTATAGTGATGGCTGCAGCAGCGATAGCTAACATAGTAAAGAGCTCACTTGGTCCAGTTGGTTTGGACAAGATGCTGGTAGATGATATTGGTGAAGTCACAGTCACAAATGATGGAGCCACTATATTAAAGTAAGTATTTTATTCAAAATCATATATATGAGGCAATATAACAATTACTAATTTTGTGTTGTCTTATACTACCTGGGGCGACGATGCTTTCAAAAATATTTATTAAACAAGGCGCCCATGACACTCGCACTGGCCACTCTCATAGCAGAAACAACGGATTTTTTGTGTGTAATTCACAAAAACAACATTGTACTAATATGTATAATATAGAATTAGATACACTATTGTATTGCTTAGGCCTTAAAATAGTTGTGTAAGTAAATAAATAAATAAATAAATATATACTTATAAAATATATCACTTAAATAAACATAGGTAATTCACCTATAGTGATGGCTGCAGCAGCGATAGCTAACATAGTAAAGAGCTCACTTGGTCCAGTTGGTTTGGACAAGATGCTGGTAGATGATATTGGTGAAGTCACAGTCACAAATGATGGAGCCACTATATTAAAGTAAGTATTTTATTCAAAATCACTTAACAATTACTAATTTTGTGTACTACTATGCTTTCAAAAATATTAAAATGGCCAACCAACTTTTAATCCCTGATGAATAATCAGTACCATCCAAAGAAACAATGATTGTACTGAGAATCACACTCTACCTGATGTAACTTATACCACATCTGCTCACAGTCTGATTGATTGCAAGATGGTCACAATATCATAATAATGTACCTTCACAATTGTTATTTTGGATGGGGTAGTAAGTTCATATACTGACATTTTGCTGGGTACATCGTCATCAGCCCACTGCAGTCCACTGCTGGACATTGGCCTCTACCAAGGCACACCACTGGGCACAATCATCAGCCCTTCTTGTCCAATGTTTATTAGCAACCCTATGTATGTTGTGACTACCTAGATAGACGCCCCGTCCTATGCTATGTTTGCCAATTTGCTGGGTATATTTAAATCCATAGTGATATTGAGCAAACCTGCTGCCATCAAATTTGTATCAAATTTGGTTTTGTATAAGTGTTTCTGTTGCTAGAGAGTTAATTTGTGATAAAATTTATGTACAAAACATAACAAACTATTTGGTATAACCTCTCAAAATTATTTTCTTCTCTGTAGAAGAGATACTATATGTAATAAGGCCATCTTTTGTACCCTATTACTACTATTTGATTCCTTTTATCTTACTTTTATTTTCTTTTTAGGACAATTCACACAGCGCCATCTAGACCCAAGTTAAGCTAGCTAAAGCTTGTGTTATGGGTACCTAGACAACTGATACAAATATATAGATTGTTTTTTTTTCGTAATTTGTGGTCTGGGTGTTTTCTATGTATAATATGTATGTATACATAGAAAACATATTATACATAGAAAACACCCAGACCGATACAAACAATCATACTCATGAATATAAATGTTTGTGCTGTGCGAGGAATCGAACCCGCGACCATCGGTCATAAAGCGGTGGGCTAGACTGCTAGACCACCAAGGCCGTCTTTTATTTATCTGGTTCAATAAAGAGTATAATAATATAAATAAATATGTACTATTAAACATTATTTTATTTATTACAGGATGCTGGAAGTGGAACACCCCGCAGCCAAAGTACTGGTAGAGCTGGCACAGCTTCAGGATGAGGAAGTTGGTGATGGTACTACATCAGTTGTTATAATTGCAGCTGAACTCCTTAAGGTATTGTTTACAATGACCGTCAGAGTTATGATTTCGCATCCAATGTCAGAAATTTGTTTATTATCCCAATGGTTGTGGGTTCGATTCCTCGCAAGGTAGTCAGGAGTATAATTGTTTGAAACTATCTGGATGTGATCTATGTATATTATGTATGTATTTTCAAAAGAAAATTATATGCAAATCAGTTATCTAGCACCCACAACACAAGCTGGGCTTACATTAAGACTAGATGACATTCTGTGAATTGTCTTGGGTATGATCATTATATTATTTATTTAACTGAAATAGTTGACAGTATGAAAATATAAAATGATTGCATATATATCTGTGATGTGGTCTAATCATACCAATTACTACTAATGTACTGTGAAAGGAATTGAACCCAGTGATGTGGTATACTGCTATATCACCAAAATTTTCTTTGCAAAATTATCCAGAGTGAACTCCCAACTAACTATTTTTGAGCTGATTGCTTTCTGCAAGCTGAGTAAGCCAGTTTTTCACCCTTACAGTCCTACAATGCTTTCTAATTATACCTGAAGCTACCTTTATAGTAGAGTAGTTGAGAGTAGTAGACTTAGTAGGTAGAGAATGCCATATGTTGTTAAGCTCTCCTTTTCTATAATAAAGAATAAAATAGAGCAGTCAACACACAGGACCTTTAAATAACAATATATATTATACTAGCTGTGCCCATGCTTTCACCCGCGTGAAATTATATGTTATGAAAGTTTCATCAAGATCTGTTCATTCTGTTTTGGCGTGAAAGAGTAACAAACATCCATCCATACTAACAAACTTTCGCTTTTATAATATTAATTAATAATAATAAGATTTATGTAATAGTGAATTATTTATTTTAATTTCTAGAGTGCTGATGAACTGGTAAAGAACAAAATTCATCCAACCAGTATTATTTCTGGCTACCGTCTAGCTTGCAAGGAGGCAGTGAAATACATTCAGGACAACCTCACTGTTACTGTAGAATCACTTGGCAGACCGTCCATCATTAATGCTGCGAAGACCACAATGTCATCTAAGCTTATTGGAGCGTATCCTTTTCGAATACTTATGTGCCGTATACCGCTAAAACAAGCGTCTTGTATTATTTGACAAACTAGTTTCCATCTAGTTTTAAAATGTTGTTTTCAATATGCACTATTTTATAGTATTTTTCTGAATACATTTTAGAATTTCTGAATTTTATAATGACTAAACCATGATCTTTTTTTGATCTAATAATTCAAATTCTACATTTAGATGTATAATAACTTTGGTCACTCAATATTGCAATAATTTCTTAACCACCACATCAGTGATGCAGATTTCTTCTCCGAAATGATAGTAGATGCAGCACAAGCTATAAAAATCACAGACTCCAAAGGGAATGCTCAATATCCAATCAAAGCCGTGAATATACTCAAAGCTCACGGTCGCAGTGCAAGGGAGAGTGTACTTGTGAAGGGTTATGCTCTCAACTGCACAGTCGCTTCCCAAGCCATGCCGAAGAAGATTCTTAACGCGAAGATAGCGTGTTTAGACTTCTCATTACAGAAAACTAAGATGAAGATGGGTGTTCAAGTGAGTATTTATTTTATACTAGCTGTGTGACTTCGTCCGTGTGGTATAGACGCAACGACTCACATCCCCTATTTTATTTTACCCCCTTAAAGATAAAATGTTTACAAATTTGAATGTCATATTTATTTATATTTAATCAACCGTCTTTTTCAGGCCGTTGATTAAGTAATATATAAGTTTCAAGCTTTGATAATGACGATACTTCCATACAACCTTATATCTCCTCTTTAAACTCTTTTTTTCGCATTAAAAAGTAGCTACATTTTAATGCGAAAAAGGGTCTCGGAGTATCTGTGTACCAAATTTTATTTAAAACGGTTCAGTAATTTGGATGTGAAAGCGCGATAGAGAGACAGAGTTACTTTTGCATTTAGATAGATACAAATTTATAATAAATATAGAAGGATATTTCACAAATATTTTTTTTAAATGTAAATTACTAAAGAAAATAAAAGTACTTATCTCAATGAAACAGAACAATAGCAATACAATAAAAATACAACCATAAAACAATGCCCTAAACAAATATTTTATTCACACAAGCGTGCATAAAATATGGTAACATTTCCTTCGTAAATCTCATTATCCACTACTAAATGCAGTGGCGTAGCATGGCCTATCCCCGCTTGGAGACAGCTGGAAATTAGGCGCCCCTTCAATTTTCTTAGTAAAAAAATAATATAATTCAAATAGGTAGCTTAATTATAAACATTATTTTTTGCTAATAAATAAATTAGAATCCAAACACTTCCATTTTTTACTTTAAAAACATCGCGATGCTCCTCTCTTCCAATTTCAAATTATTAATTATTGGAAATTAGTTTATATGGCTTTGAATAATATCTTACTTACTTTTACAACATAACTCGCAAAGGTGCTGGTCACTGACCCGGAAAAACTAGAAGCTATTCGAGCCAGAGAACTGGATATCACCAAGGAGCGTCTTCAAAAGATTCTGGCGACAGGAGTAAACGTCATACTCTGCAGTGGCGGTATTGATGATCTCTGCCTCAAGTATTTCGTTGAAGCCGGCGCTATGGGCGTCAGGCGATGCAAAAAGGCTGACCTCAAAAGGATTGCGAAAGCTACCGGTGCTGCGTTCTTGACATCCCTTACTAACATGGAGGGTAAGTTGTTGTATCTACTAATAGTATAAACGAGTTTCCCCTGGAAACCATCGTAATAAATTCCTGGTGGATTTACGATGGGCTAACTGGACCTGACCTCATGCTCATCCTATCCTTTAACTTTACACTTAAACTTAAAAATGTAAAGTAATCGTAAAATTATTTAAAAGAGCAACACGCAAGTTTCTTGCTCGTTCTTCTTGTGATGAGACAGCTTTCCGAACGAGCGGTAGATTAAAAAATGTAATGACTATTCAAAAGTGCTTCAATGTAATTTTATTTGAATAAATGATTTTCTATTCTATTCTATTCTATTCCTCCTCTGTTCCCCGCCTGCGTAAAGCCTTAGTGCAGGCGGGTGAACCATACCATTATCATCCATTAAAAAAAGTTATATACGCGGAAGTGTGTCAGTGTGTATGGATGGTTGTTTTTTTACTACTGAATGGATTTTAATGACACTACAATAATAAAGCTTATACATCACAATAATAATTAGGGTAAGGTAAAACCGTGAGCACAGCTATTTCTCAATAAAGTAACAAAACCATAGAATAACAATATTATTAGCATTCACAAAACGCATTCAAATTCAAATTCAAAATATCTTTATTCATGTAGGTCTATTACAGACTCTTATGATATTTCAAATCTACCGTCAGTTCGGAATGTTTTCGTGATTAGAAGAACTGACAAGAAGCTCAGCGCACGGGTGTACATGAATATAATGTTATACATATAAACTTTCCTCTTGAATCACTATCTATTAGTAAAATTGCATTAAAATCCGTTGCGTAGTTTATAAGATCTAAGCGATCAGACAGCGGAAGCAACTTTATTCTATACTATGTGTAGATGTATAATATTCTGAAAACAAAATTTCAATTCAGGAGAGGAAGTTTTCGAGGCAAGCATGATTGGTGAGGCGGCTGAAGTGGTCCAAGAGCAGATTTGTGATGATCAACTCATCTTAATTAAGGGGTATGTTGAATTTTACTTTATATATATATATATATATATTTTTTTTTTTTTTTGTTAAAGAATTGTAGATATTTTGTAATTGACTAACTAGTTTTGACTGGCTTTGCCTTAATTAAAGTACTGTTCTTTACATTTGTGACCATACAATTTTTATGCTATTAACTGAGAAGCATTATTGTTAGTAGCTTTTATAAGAACCTACAGAAATTATATTAATTTTTTATATATCTACGAGTATGCCAATTGGCGGTGGCACCTTATCATGTACTGAATCTATTTTCTGTGGATTGAGAGCTTTTCTAAAGTAAATTTTAAATCTGTTTGTTTTCAAAAACTGGCTTTAGTCTTTTCATACTTTAGTGTTCAAACTAGGACAATGTAGTGTAATGACAGGGTTAGTGGGAAAGGGTTTAGTTAGCTGCAAGGATTTGAAAACATCCATAGTAACATACCACTTTTCTTCTACAACTTGCCCTGAAACCATATCAATTATTCAGCAAGATGGGTTTAAAGTTGTGATGTATCTCCGGTCATAGAAACACCGACAAATCATACTAATTGGACGGTGGTAAATTGGCGATCTGCCATTCTACCAAATATTCTTTTAACTATTTCATCTAGGTTTACACTCGTTTAGGGTTGTTCATGAAACTCCAGTCACAGAAAAATTGGTAAAAAACCAAATTAATTAACGGTGATAAAATGATGCCCTGCCATTTTGGATTCAAATAGGTAGGTAGAACCTACCTGTCTCTTATAATCTCATTTGGGTTTACAGTCGTTTACGGACTTGTCTTATGAAGCATGACTCAAGTCACAGGAAAACCTTTAACAAACCAAAATAAGTAACGGCGGTAAATTGTTACCCTTCCATTTTGGATTCAAATATCTATGTCTCTATCTCGTCCAGATTTACAGTCGATTAGGAACTTGTCTTATGATGTTATTATGCAATAGGCCTACCGCTCGCACGGCGGCATCGCTGATACTGCGCGGGCCGACGGACGCGTACTGCGACGAGATGGAGCGGTCGGCGCACGACGCGCTGTGCGCCGTGCGGCGCGTGCTCGAGTCGGGCCGCCTGGTGCCCGGCGGCGGCGCCGTCGAGGCCGCGCTCTCCATCTACCTGGAGAACTTCGCCACCACGCTGGTACGTAGTACGCAGTCGTACTGCACGAGATGGAGCGGTCGGCGCACGACGCGCTGTGCGCCGTGCGGCGCGTGCTCGAGTCGGGCCGCCTGGTGCCCGGCGGCGGCGCCGTCGAGGCCGCGCTCTCCATCTACCTGGAGAACTTCGCCACCACGCTGGTACGTAGTACGTAGTGCGTAGTACGCAGTCGTACTGCACGAGATGGAGCGGTCGGCGCACGACGCGCTGTGCGCCGTGCGGCGCGTGCTCGAGTCGGGCCGCCTGGTGCCCGGCGGCGGCGCCGTCGAGGCCGCGCTCTCCATCTACCTGGAGAACTTCGCCACCACGCTGGTACGTAGTACGCAGTCGTACTGCACGAGATGGAGCGGTCGGCGCACGACGCGCTGTGCGCCGTGCGGCGCGTGCTCGAGTCGGGCCGCCTGGTGCCCGGCGGCGGCGCCGTCGAGGCCGCGCTCTCCATCTACCTGGAGAACTTCGCCACCACGCTGGTACGTAGTACGTAGTGCGTAGTACGCAGTCGTACTGCACGAGATGGAGCGGTCGGCGCACGACGCGCTGTGCGCCGTGCGGCGCGTGCTCGAGTCGGGCCGCCTGGTGCCCGGCGGCGGCGCCGTCGAGGCCGCGCTCTCCATCTACCTGGAGAACTTCGCCACCACGCTGGTACGTAGTACGTAGTGCGTAGTACGCAGTCGTACTGCACTGCACGAAATGGATTGGTCGGCACACGACGCGCCGTGCGCCGTTCATTCTAAGAAGAATTCGCAATTTTGTATCAAATATCAACGCTATTATTATTTTGTAAGAAGGAAATAACGCAGTTATTTGACTTACACATGAAACTAAATACAATGTTATGTTGGAAGGAGTGCAGAACAAGTTCGTTAGATACTTATATTTCAAACAGTATGGTACTTAATACTACTACCCCTTAAGGTATCCAACCTTATTTATTTTAGCAGGAACACGTAACAAAATACCTTAATTGTCTATTGTTAGATACATTGTTTTACATATATTTGTTAATGTATAAAACGATTATTAAATTCCACAGAGTTCCCGGGAACAATTGGCCATTGCGGCATTCGCGCAATCTCTCCTGGTGATACCGAAGACACTAGCAGTAAACGCGGCTCGGGATGCCACCGACCTTGTAGCGAAACTACGCGCCTACCACAATTCATCACAAACTAAGGTAAATGTTCGCTCAATCTCGTCGTGACTACCTTTTACCATCGCGCCGCTCGTCATCAACAAGTAATTCATCTCCACACTATGGAACCTAAGTGGTCTCGGACAGTGCGGTTTTAAAGGAGCTTCTTCCAGTATACTCTTAGAATGTGGAATGAACTACTGGCCGAGGTTTTCTCCCGAGACCTCAGCACGGGGTTTTGTCAAGAAGGGTATATTAAGATTTTTTAAGGGTTGGCATCGCGCATGCGATTCCCCTGATGTCATAGGCGTCCATAGGCTATGGTAATCAGATGGGGCGTATGCTTGTTTGCCACCATTGTAGTATAGAAAAAGTATTTTGACCATAATACATATTCACTGGCTATTATATCAGATGGAATAGTCTGTGGCATTTACAACTGTCGACTTTCTGGTTAACGCAACCTTTTGCGTTAACCAGAAACATAGAATGAACATAGAAATGTGGATATTGGAATCCAATGTGGTAGATGTTATTGACAGCGCCGTCTGTCGTTTAAATTTAGGATTTTTATCGGTATTTCATAACCAGAAATTCAATTGACACAAACATTTTATTGTTTGCCAGATCTCAACTTTCATCTTTTTGGGGCCTTGTTATAGTAACTCGCTACGCAAAGACGTCGAAATTAATTTTGTTAAGTGTTTTACTTCATAGCTGTTATACTATTAATTGTGTTTCCAGGTTGAACATGCGAACCTCAAATGGGTAGGTCTAGATCTCGCGGAAGGGTCACTCCGCGATAACTTAGCCGCTGGCGTGCTAGAACCGGCCATCTCCAAGATAAAGTCCCTCAAGTTCGCAACAGAAGCTGCCATCACCATCCTACGCATCGATGACATGATCAAACTGGATCCGGAACAGAGAGGCAAGAGCTACGAAGATGCGTGCAACGCCGGGGAATTAGACTAACTTATAGTGTAGTGAAGTCGGTGCTCAGTTTACTATAAAAATAAGGGCTGCCCCTAAGTAGAATAGAATAGCTTATATCTATTGACGTTTACTCGAATAAGTTTCAATAGTTAATTTTTATCTTACAACCGCCTCATTCATATATAACTATATATAATTTGATTATACAAACTACTAGCAAAGTACTAATATATGTAAAGTTAAGTTACATAATGAAATCGGTATAATATACATAGAATACCTACCAGTTTTTGATCTAAATTATGACGGCTAAGCTGAGATGCCCTCAGATTAAAGGTGTATCCGTCAGGCGGTAGTTGGCCTTCAGCCGCTCTATAAGTTCTTCCGTTTGGTTTGGAGTGCTATCTGCACTCGCCCCCTAAGGCCAGGTGAGGCCAACAGCATTAGAGTGGTCAGAAAAAAAATTTGCTGTTTGAATGACAGATTGCCCTCCGGTGCTAAAACAGTTATATTTTTTAACATTTGCAATTATAGTGTTAAACCCATAAAAAACACTTCCATTTGTGGGAACTTTTTTAAGAGTTCTTATTCTTTTAAAGTGTTTTATAAAACTTCATATATCATGTACATCTACTTAGGGGCCGACCATATAATTTACTATTTTGCATTCTAACACAGCATTAGCATTACCTTAGAATAACTATTTCTAATTCTTCTAGTTATTCTTCTAATAGTTATTCTATGACATTACACAAGAAGCAAGTATGCTATGGCGCTAGTGTACAAAGTTCTATGCAAAACTTCATTATTTTATTTTAATTCATGTATTGAATTTTATAAGATTAAAAAACTTTAACACCAATACAAATTTTTAATTCTAATTAGTTTTATAGAAACTGTTCATTGACCACAGGGTATTAAAATGTGAAAATGCACTGAAAAAGCCGGTGCAATTTATCAGTAAGTGCAGGAATATTTCATACTGTATGTATAAAATATTTCCTAGAAAACGCTTTGTTGGAAATAACATTGTATTGGCAACACCTGATTAATATTTTTTTAATTCTATTATTAATAATGATAACCTTTACTTTTGCTTGTACACAGTATTATGAAATACTCGAATATAATAAATATTTTCAATGATATTTTTTTATTTTTATGAACTTATGAGGACCACATCAACGATTTGTATAACTTAATAAACATTTAATAATTCAAATGTTTATTATGTATTATACATTTTAATTCTATTATGTTATTTTGAAAATTTTCTTTAAACAGATTTTTTTCTATAATACAAAGCAATAAAAAACATCACAACTCAACAGAAAGAAATCTAATAATCTATTATACTAAACTGTTTATTTAGTATACTCTATTAGGAGACTATGACAAAATATGTTAGGACTTGTATGAAATCGCATGTGGACTCATTTGTAAATTTATTTAAATCTAACTCCTTATTTTCATCTCTCAGAGTCTATATACGAGAAATCGGTCAAGATAGTTCCTAGTTTCGTAACGCACGCGGCACGCGATACTATTAAAAGTATAAGCAAACAATGATAGTATTACCACAGATAACATAATATTACATAGTATTACTATGTAATTTTATCTTATCTACGATACTACTATACAGCCGTTAGAACATAGCTTCTTAAACGTGGTACAATATTTTTATTGAAATTATTTAAGACCACATTTTTACATTTAATTAAAACCCGTTCCGATCAATCCCCTGTTTAATTCAAACAGGGATCGAAATTACGACGGCCTGAACCGAGGTTTGAACCCCTAGCGGTGTCCACAGAGTAAAGTCGATTTCGACAGGCTAGATTTGGCCTTTAGCCGCTCCATAACTCCTTTCGCGAGTTTAGAGTGCTATAGCCCTCGTATCGTATCTGCACTCGCCCTCTATCGTCTGGTGAAGCTGTAAAGGCCAGCTGGGGCCAACAGAATTATAGTAGTAAACCAAAAACGAAAAACAATAAAAAATTGTAACAGTAACTCCAATCATTATTTATCTATATTAGTGGTAATGACTTTACGCTAAAAACATAGAAAACTGGGGAGAAATGGGATTGTTAGTAATGTAGTCCACATTACTAAAATTTTGGACTGATGACCCCAATGTAGCATGTCTGGTTGACCTCCATACAGTTCCGCTTAGAAACGATCATTCCAGAATTCCTAATAAATTTGTCACAACGCTCGTCTTATCCTCCACTGGTGCTCAATCTTTATATGCCATCATTCCATTATTATCCATAAAAAAAAACTGAATAATCATATTCATAAAACTCTTAAATCTAATTTTTTTAATAATCTTTTGAAAATTACAATATCGGTGTAATTATATATGAAACTCATCATCATCAAAACATCATTTTATTATCACACCTCTGAGCACGTGGGCGTTTCTCTAAATACATAATTAATTAATAAATATGTAGAACAAAATACCTACTTGTGACTTCTGCTACCTTATCTCATTGACCTTAAAACACAAATCAATTATAAATCAATTTTATTATAAAGTATTTAAATTTGTTTTAATAAAACTAGTGTTGTGACATTTGTGTTATACGCTTTATATCTTGTTTTTTTTTTATTGTTAATTTGAGGTGGTGATCCCACTCACACCAATAAAGGATGAAAGCGTGAAGTTAAAATTAGGTTTCTTACCTTATCATAGTGAATTCGCCCCTCCGTAAACCCTCCTGCACTAACAGTTTACGCTGGCGGGGCACCAGTGGAGGATGAGAAGATGAACATGAGGACAGGTCAGTTAGTCCATCGTGGTAAATTCACTAGAAATTTATAGATGATGGTTTCATGGGAACCGCCCCCCCCCCTCCCTCCCAGGGCAACCTGACTGTACCATACATTGCTACCAATGGAGTTATTAATCCACGTTACTGGCAATCTCCTTCCCTCCATTCACCAGATATCAATCACGCTATTTTCCTCTACAAGTGACCATATGAAGATTGACCTAGCACAGAGAGGGAAACTCCGAGCAGTTCTTAGAAGTTGTGGCCTGGGTGTAGGTTTAAAGGGTACTTTGCCTGCATATTGGTATTATTGAAAAATGTATTCTATAAAATTGGTTTCTAATTCGTCCACGCGCTTTAACACAGATCGCCTCTTTACGATTTCATTATATGTACATAAGATATTTTAGAGATAAGATATAAAATAGAAGATTTTACTATTTTATTGTATTTGGTGAAGCCAAAGATAATAACATTACGTTTTTATTGTATGTAGAAATAATAAAGAGTATATTATTTGACTAGTTGTACCCGCGACTTCTGGTACTATTGTAGCTACTCGCAATATTTGATGATTGTTAAAAAAACAATAAATAAAGCATATGATGCAATCTGTTCTATAAAGAAATTAGCTGACCAGCCGAACGTTTGTTTGCTATATAAATTTAAGAACTATGTTTCTATAAATAATAGGGTGGTAGAAGGGTGAAAATGTAAGTGAATATGTATGTAAATTTTAATACTACATCATACAAGCCTAAATTTAAATATTAAAAATAATATATAGATTAACTTGGTACACTTTTATGTGGCACCTGACACACAGACAATTTTATCTCATCACGATATTATATATAAAGATAAGGATGATTCTGTTTATTACTAATCACGCGATGTAATCGGTTTATGAGTATAAATATACCCAAAATACTAACAAATACACTCACAACTCTATGACGTCTAATATACTATTCCATTATTACTAATTGCTCTTGACTCCATGAAACGCACTGTCAATTCAGAACCAAAAAGTAATTTAAACGTAAGAAAAGAAACTAGCGTTACAATGTTTCGTGAGCAGAAAATAAAAATTGGGGATTATTATATCAATTACTTAAAAGTCGGGAATGGACCACGCAACTTGCTGTTCGTGCCAGGTGCTTATGGGTCCATATGGACAAATTTCAAACTACAAGTGGAAGGGTTTGACCGGGAGAAATTCACGTTGGTTCTGTGGGACCCCCCTGGTTATGGGAATAGCAGACCCCCCGACAGAGATTTCCCGGCTGATTTTTATGAGAGGGACGCTGATTGTGCATATGAATTGATGAAGGTCAGTATGATTTAAGCCAACCTTTTTTCTGCGGTGCCTCACCTCAGCCTTTCTAAAATTCTTATGCCCCACAACGTAGAGTGTTGTGTTATATCCAACCGATATTTTTTAACCAGTAAATTTTTTACAGCGCTAATGACTAAGGATAGTCAGCTAAATATCCAGCGAAATTATATTTACGACCATGGTAGATTTTAATTATTTATAAAATTGTGTGCGCGTACCTCTGCCTCGCCTGTGCAGCCAAGCAATTTCCTTGGTAAGCTATCACCCGCTTGAAGGGTAAGATATAGCAATTAAATTAATATAGTAGAGTGATCTAGAGTTTTTCATTGACTGATTGATTTGCGTAGTCTGCATATATGAGATAGGAGTGCCCACGCTGATGACTTCTACAAAGTTAAGGCCTACCACAAAAGAAGTTATATATATATGTATCTATATGTTTCAAGGCTTTATTAATTGTTAAAGGCTTTAAAACTTCCAACATACTCAATTTTGGGATGGTGTGACGGCGGGATAGTTAGTATGATTCTTACTTCGAAACATCCAGAAGTGACTGAAAAACTGGTAATTTGGGGGAGCAAGGCGTTCATCCTACCACATGAAATTGCGGTATATGATAGTAAGTATCCACATTGAAACGAAGTAGCGTACACCACTATGCAGTTTCATTAAAATCAGAAAAAAACCCCTTTAGTTGATGGTCTCCATAATTGTGAAACAATCATATATTATAACGCTTACAATACTGGAGAAGGGGATTGTTGGTAATGTGGACTACTGACTCCATTGCTAGCAATGTACCATGCAGCTTGACATCCACGAGAACGACCTCTCTAAATCGTAATAATTCCTTGTGAATTTACAACGATGGCCAAACTGACCCTACCTCATGCTCATCTTATCATCCTCTACTAGTACATCATCATCATTATCTGCTTCTTCTTATCCCATTTATTTGGGGTCGGCGTAATATGTTTTTCTCTTCCATTCATCTCTGTTTGTAGACATGTCGTTATTTACTCCCTTTCTCACCATACACCCTCCTCTACTAGTACACCGCTAACGTAATCCTTTTGCGAAAGCGGGTACTCCATTACATTATGATCCATTAAAAAAGCTCTTACAATAGTTCTAATAACACCTCGTTTCCAGAATTAAAGTTAACCGGTAGCGCAGACGGATACTGCATTAAATGGTTAATCCATTAAAAACCTTACAATACTGCTTCTCGTTTCCAGAATTTAGAGATCTAGATGTATGGTCTGACAATCTTAAAAATCCGATGTTAGAATTGTATGGAGAGAAATTCGGAAGTTATTGGGCCAAATGGACGGATAATGCAATATACTCTGTATTAAAAACTAGAGAAGGTAACATTTGCTCTGATCGTTTGAAGGAAATTAAATGTCCCACGTTAATACTATATGGAGAGAAAGACCCGATAGTGGAAACTATGCACGCATCTTATCTGCAGACACATATTGAAAACTCAAGGTAACATAAAGATAGAACGATATCCTCTCCATATCTTTTCCTCCTCGTGTGCTATACCGCTAGACGACCTCGGTGGGTTCGATTCCTCGCACGGCACAATCATTTGTATTCATGAGTATGATTGTTTGTATCGGTCTGGGTGTTTTCTATGTATAATATATATATATATGTATTTACGAAACAAAAGTATCTATGTGTTTATATCAGTTATCTAGTACCCATAACACAAGCTTTAGCTAGCTTAACTTGGGTCTAGATGGCGTTGTGTGAATTGTCCTGAGGCTATTATATTATCTTTTCCTGTTCTACTTAGAACAACCGGCGATCCGCAGACTATGGGTGGTATATTAAAGCACGTACGTGGTCCGCCTCAGGCCATTCTTAAACACATACAAGAAGATTTAACGGACTGTACTTTAAAAAAAACGTTAGCTTTTGACATTTTTATCGTTGCTGCTGTTACATTACTCTCTTAATGTTGTCGAATAGCCTATAATTTAAGACCTTTAATTTTTCGATCTAAAGAGGTTAAACTACTGAACTACGATGCTCTCTACTATAATATAAATAGATAATATAGTACTTAGCATATATTTTATTTTCAGATTGTACAAGTACCCAAAGGGCAAGCATAACATACACATCAAGTACGCAGAGGATTTCAACAGAAGAGTTCAAGAATTTTTACTACAACCCTAATATGTCTCTTTACCAAAATTACTATAGTATGTAAAATTAAGATTAAATGGCATATTCAACACGCGATACATTTTCAAATGTCATTATGTTAATTAGGAAATTGTGTAGAAGAATATGTATATTTATAAGTATTAATTTAATAAAAAAATATATGCATGCATGTATTATTTTGCCTCGCAATATCTCCTATTCCATTCCAAATAGGATTGAAATTAGTACAATGGCCTCAGCCGAAGTTTGAATCTAACAATAACATATTTTCTAACAATTTGCCTTCCATAAGTTCCTCTGGATTTGGACTCTACCATTTTGTTCTGACGAAACTCTAAAGGCCAGCAGCGTGAGAATACTTAAAAAAAACTTTAATAATTTAAGCTCAGTCACTCAGTCAAAATATGATCAAGACATGTCTATGATTAGGCTTGCTGCATACGAAAAATTTGTGGTTGTGTTTTGTACGTACACTTAGGTCACCGAGAAAGTAATCACTACGTTATTTTCAGATATGATACGACTATTAACAACAATACTAGTAACTTAGGGATGTTCGATTAACAATCGTCATCGTTTAGTGAATAAATTAATAATTTGATATTAAGAATACGATAACAATGACGAATAGAACTTAAATCCTAAAAACGTATAGGTACAAGAGGAAACAACTATATTTTCCAACATCAATATTTATTATTCGATATTTATAAATATACATACGTACTCTGTGATTTCTAGGAGGATCTGTGACTGTGAAATTAACTGTGGTAGTGACTAATTTTCAACCTTTGAAGGTGACTTAGGTGACCTACTATGCGTACTCTGAGCATTATTGTATGACGCAGATGATAGAGACACAATGCAGTGAAACATTCTTACAGTCCGACCGCTCAGAGTTTGCGTTTCTGACAGGTCGGGATCGAATGGGCTAAATGACTTTGAACTCAAGGTTATTTGGCCACATTACAAAATAAGGAAACAGTTGACATAACCTTTAAGCAGCGCAAATTGATGTGGTTTGACTTTTAAAAACTATTGTTGGAATAATTATTAATTTTTTAACGTTATAACTCGTTAATAAGGTTATTTAAAATTGTGTATCATCTAACATCGCCCATTCGATCCCGACCTCTTAGAAACGCAAACTGAGCGGCTGGGCTGTAGTTTACAAATAATCACTATACTTAGAAATACAAATACAATTCACAATTCATTGTGATAAAATGTCATTGAATGGAAATAAAATACCAAAATGTCATTCGTATCATTCAAGCGTGGTGTAATCGTCCATATGTGTATTTATATTCTAGTATATAAACAAGGTACATATGTGTGTATTTATTATGTTGTTTACTACTTATACTTACCTATGTTTACCGTATGTTATCTGTATTTACTATTTTTATCATTGAATGCTTTGTCTGTACCTTATACTATCGTCTGTTTAGTTCGAGGACGTAGTTTGTGTATCTGTGCTTGTCTGTGATTTTTTATTATTATTGTATTAACCAATAAACAAAAGTACTCTATTTAATTAATTCAGTTGTTTTATATGATATGATACCTTGTAACAATGATAGTTAGAGGTCTAAAGATTATTTTTACATATAACTCCTCCTTATGCAAGGCACAGTGTTTACGCAAAACAATTAATTTTCATACGTCGGCATTCTTGTCAACATCAGCTGTTCTAAAGGTAATTTAATAGTAAGCTGTATGTTAATATGTTTTTGTATAACTGTGTATATACCTATTTAGGCGTTTATAATAATAGAACCATATTTTATGTAAATTAATTAACGTATTGTTGAAGTAGGTGACATTTCGGTCGTATTTTTAGTGATCTGCATCCAAAAAATTTAATTAGATCATTATGGTGTGATTTTGTATTCATATAATATGATCTTTCCGTCTCAGAATAATACCTATGAATGCAATCGATTTTAAATTTGGAATTCTTCTATTTAAGATTTTTTAATTAGATTTTGTATTGTAAAAGAAAGATCGGTCGCTGCATTCGAAGCGAATATGAAATCCTTATGTCATACATAAGTAGAAATTTCAAACATCTGTATGGAATCATGCATCGGTATGCACACTGCACGCCAGCGAACGCCGGATTTAATTTTAAAGTAATTTGGATGGTACATATTTATATATACATGAATTAAGTACCTTCAATAATACATATAGTAATTATTAGACGACATAAGATGAAATATCCTTCACGTGTGTTACATGATAACGTATATAGGCAATGGTTCTCGCTTACCATCGGAAGGGCCGTCAGGTTGCTTGCGTTACGTTAAAAAAACTTGAAAAATCAATACGAGGTAAATTACACTACTACACTTCGCCCATGGCACGATTTTATAGCAAACAATTTCCATGTCTAATTTATTCCAGGAGGAGAAAATAAAAGTTGGGGATTATGATATCAATTATCTAAAACTCGGGAATGGGCCACGCAACGTACTGTGCGTGCCAGGAGCTCTTGGGTCTATATGGACCGACTTCAAGCCACAAGTGCAAGGTTTTGACCGGGAGAAATTCACGTTGGTTGCGTGGGACCCTCCAGGTTACGGAAAAAGCAGGCCTCCCGACAGGAATTTCCCAACTGATTTTTATGAAAAGGACGCAGATTATGCTTATGAATTTATGAAGGTCCGTACAAACTGGGCCCATAACTTATTACTAGTAGCATCTATATACATAAAGATTGGGTTTATTGGTATACTATTTAAAACTAAAAAAACGACTAAACCAATTTTTAGGATCTGTGAATTATTGGATTTATCGATGTTACGAATATCTAAAGTGAAGTACCTAAGCAAACTGTACGGAAGGGATAGTGATAAAATATCATGATATAAATGAGCTAATTAAATTATTTTGATCAGATGAAGCTGCAGCCTGGTAAAATAATTTAGCGTGCTCTAGTTTACCACTTGCTAGATCAATGGCAATGGACCGCTTTATACATAGTATAAATCGCTGTCTCTTCGTTTACTACGCAACGGATTTCAATGAAATTTTTAGCAATAGATAGTGATTCAAAAGGAAGGTTTATATTATATGTATAATGCATTCATATCCTTACGAAGCCGGACGAATGGCTGATTATTAGTAAATCATAATTTTTATACGCCTAAGCATTTTATCGCCATAAACTCGTAGGCTATATATTTTTTATTGAAATTTAAAGCGGGTGAAACCACGGTCACAGCTATTTTATAATATGTACCTTTTTAAATTGACAAGATTTCAAACAATTTTGAAGGCCATAAAGCTGCCAAAGTACTCCGTGTTGGGATGGAGTGACGGCGGAATTGTTGGTATGATCCTCGCCGCCAAGCATCCAGATGCTGTTGACAAACTGGTCGTTTGGGGCAGTAATTCGTTCATCCTACCCAATGAAATTGAATTATATAACAGTAAGTTAGAATTATTATAATAAAGTGTACATTAATGATGGACTCTGTGGTCAAGTGGTTTACCACAGCATTCTTACGTCCGATGGTCGCGGGATCGACTCCTCGCATGGTACAAACAATTGTATTCAGGAGTATGATTGTTTGTATCGGTCTGACTGTTTCCTGTGTACATATTAGGTATGTATTTACTAAAAAAAATCTAAGTATTTATTATTATATGAGTTATCCAGTATCCATAACACAAGCTCTGCTTCGCTTGGGATTAGATAGCTGTGTGACAATTCTCACACATAACCTGAGATATTATTATTAATTACTAAATACATAAAAACATTTTAATATAATGACAAATAAATGACATTGTCATTTGCTTTGTCGTTCTGAAGAACTAAGGTGTCATGTCACTCTATAGATAAGTAGATATTACTGGCAAATAAAAAAATATAATAATATTAATATCTGAGGACAATTCACATAGCTTCATCCAGTCCCAAACTTAGCAGAGCATGTGTTATTAGTGCTAAACAACTGTATAAACACATAAGGTATATATTTTTTGTAAATATGTACATAAAATACATAGAAAACACCCAGACCGATAAAAACAATCACACACATGAATACAAACGCCCGCTACTATCGGAATTAAAGACCGACACAAACAATCATACTCATAAATACAAATGTTTGCACCGTGGGACCATCGGAATTAAAGCAGCGAGCTAAACCGCTAGACCGCCGAGACTGTTAATTAAAAAAAATCATCTATTTCCAGAGGTCAAAGACATCAGCGCATGGTCCAAGAAAATGAAGGAACCCATGATTGAATTATACGGCGATAAGTTCGCCAGTTACTGGGCTGAATGGGTAGATGGTGTAATAAATGTGTTCAAAGCCAACAATGGAAATATATGTTCAGAAAGGCTGAAGGATATTAAATGTCCCACATTAATATTGTACGGAGAGAAGGACCCAATGGTGGATAGTGTGCATGCCTCACATCTACACACACACATTGATAATTCACGGTGAGTACTTGATACGGTTACTTACGAGTTTAGCTGTCACTGAAATCCTCTGATGCTAACCGTAGCATCAGAGGATTTCTTCTCTGATAAATATAGACAAACTAGCTATTAAGTTGACTTCAAACTTTACCCCCAATTTCAAACCCCAAATATATTACCCCTTCTGGATATATTTTAGGATAAAGATCAGCCTAAATAATAGATGGTGTTACGACCAGCTATTCTATGTCAAATTTTAGTACGAGCCATCATCGTGAATGAATCGTGAAAAGGTAACAAATAGACAGAAAAACATACATTCCGATATATCAGATATATGTATACTACTACTATTAGTGTGGACTTAGTAAATATATATAATATAAAATATTTTTTTCTATCAAACAGGCCGTTAGCTTTTTGGCCATTTCAATTTTGATTTAAAAAAAGAACTGGTCTTTATAGTTTCGATAATATCTCTAATCTTTCCCAAATTCCTGCTGGCAATAACTTTCATAATTTCCAGAATACGGGACATCAATGTTCTGTATTTTATATAAAAAATTGCAATAACAATGGCATGTAGAGAGACTGTGAGCTCACCTCACATATTTCCCATTCATTTATCCTTTATTATATTATAAAACTCCTATTTCAGATTATATCTCTACCCGGATGGCAAACACAACATTCATATAAAATACGCCGAGGATTTCAACAGAAGAGTACAAGAGTTTTTGTTACAAACATAACTCAATGTTTCGTTACAAATGTTTTTTAAATCGCATAATTTTCTATTAAACGTATCTATAGCTAACTAAATGTTCATTTTTCGTTGTTAATGAAATCCATTGGCAAACTAATAATAATATTAGAAAATGTTACCTAAGGCGCATCTGTATGCTGTAATTCTGTGACGACTGTACTGTAAGTTTATTTACATTACTTCTTCAATGTCTCGAAATGGTCCTTTGAGCCGGACAAAGACCATGACATTGTTTTTATTAGGGATATTGTTTCTGGAACTATGTTAATTCTGTTTTAGATTATGAATATATAAAACGGGGAAAACAAAAGAACGTAACAATATTCCCATATTTTCATTTACTCCTTATTAAGCATGTTTCATTTCTGAACAAAACAATTTACAATAACACAAATTCAATGTAAAACGAATAATGACTTGTTTGTCCGTACTGTACAACTGTGAACTGGCGTCTTGGACGCTACAAACAGACATTCCTGTATGGCTGAACAATCACACGCACATCATTTTGTTCATTAGCATGTTACAGTTTTGACTACACATTACTATGGGCATTGGTTAGTGAAAAAAAATACTAAACAATTCTTTTTACAATTATTAAATGACTGAATGAAACTGTGACATAAATTATAAATATGTTCAGAGCCTAACTATAAATCATCAGTCAATATTAAAATAAGGGCGAACACATACGAGCGTAACGCGAGTGTGGTTGTGTTAGTACAAAACAAAACAAATATTTGCGTTGCATTTCCACTAAAATTTCATATAAAAGGTGACATTCTTATTAATCAAACGCAACTCTCGACTCGCAAAACTACGTTCGTGTGACTCCGCCCTAAATATGCTTCAACAATGTAAACATGTGTTTCATTTTAATAAATATTTATTGCATTTATTGCACTGTGTATAACATATCAAAAACCTGATCTACAATTTAGTATTGTATTTACACAATTTATCTACCAGTAAATGTATAAAAAATGTTTACATTATATCAAGGCACACGTTATGAGCTGTCCGCGACATAAGCGCGGCGCCGCGCACACTTTACTGTATATGACTTTATAAATTACGTTTTACAAGTATATAAACAAACACACATAAGCGGCCTACCTCGATAAATACGTAAGAAAATATCATGACCATATCAAATCATTCACTAATTCATGTAAGCTTCTCTTATCTCATAAATAATTTCTCTAGTTACAAAAATAGTATACACTGAATGGAACAACACTAGATATCGCGGGGGAAGCCCCGTCAGCACCAAGTTAGCTGCACTGCCTTCGCGTGAGTCTATGTCTATACAGATCTATACAGAACAGGGGCGAAGCTAGTGATGGGCAAGCACAGATACATTTAACCTAAGCTGACTAAATACTCAGTATATAATTAATAAATACTGAGTTCTTACTGCTGAGTATTTACTCAGTGTCACGTAAAAAAATACTTTTTATACATAATATAATAAACAACTCTCACTTACTAATATCATACATCGCGTTTTATTCCCAAACTAAGTAGAAGTTATAATGAGGATACTAGGCAACAGATAGACATACTTAAATACATAAATAAAATAACTAGGTTAAAATAAATACCCAGATCAACATAGACATATTCATAAATGTTTGTATTATGCGAAAATGAAACCTACTTTATGAATCATCTTCGCCAGTGTTAAACCGTTACAACACCTACATCATCATCACAAAACTCACTCACAAACATACACTGTATATTGTATACAGTGTATGTTTGTGAGTGAGTTTTGTGAATGAACAATGAATGAATACTGAGTGAAACCTCAGTATTCATTCATTGTTACTGAGTATATAGTCAACCTAAATTAAATACAACAAGAGGAGGCAAAGTTCAACTAAAGGACCATCTTCCTCAAAGTAATGTAGTTTTAAGTGTAAGCGCTGTGATTTAACATAACCTCGCCTTTAGTAGGCTACAAGTTCAATCCACATGTATATATAAGTATTTCTTTTACGAGTAACCGGCCTTACATTGTTCGGCGTAATTCATTAAAAATATATGTATATTACCCGTAGTAAGTTCTATTTAGATTGAAACTACATACATGATTTATTAAGGATTGAATTTCATTGCACCACAAACCTTCAATTTCATTATATGCCAATCTTTTTCACAAGCGCCACGAATTTTAGCACTGGAGCCTATAATCACAATAATTTAATGTGTTGCCAGTGATCGGTATCAAACCTGGCCACATTTAAATATTCTGCATATAAATTCCTGACTCGGGTGGTTGCAGACACCATGGCAAACTCAACTCATCAAAGACAATAGTAAAACGTCCCTAGCACGCTAATGGAGCATGCTAGTCGAATTACGAAGATGAATATTATACCCACAATAGTATTAAAGCGTGTAGTAAAATATCTTTTACTACCTTTTCAGAGATCACAGTCGTGAGATTTACTCGTATATATAATCCTCAATAATTTATACAAATATATTGTAAAAAGTTTAAAGGTAATTCTATATTTACTACTCGATAACAATTGGACAGATTCGAAATTTTGGCACATAGAATCAGCATATACAACTATAAATCAGCATATACAAATATAAAACGTTCCTCTAGAATAATTTAGTATCCTAGTCCATGCAGATGTGTACTTAATTAATTAATTTTCAGATCCAGAGATTACCTACAAGTTATACGGATATCTGTACGGACATAACTCCCGCGCGGCCGTGCATTACCGTGCTCCATTCCTACATATATTACAATGAAATAAGATTTACCCTTATAAATACATAACGATACAATATTACAACATTATCACCGGGATTATTAACAATATGTTTTAATTAAATTTTAAATATGTTACGTTCATTATGTTACGAAAACTAACGTTTTAATAGAGAGAGAGTCACACACTTTTAATCGAAATACTATATGTTAGTCCGAGTGTCCTTTATCACTGTGGGTGTTGATACTGGTCACACATACACAGCACCTGGATTGTCATTGTCATCGAGATTGATTTTGTTGTTGTAACCATCGTCAAAGAACCTCCGGAAGGTGAACTCGAAGAAGCCATGGAACGTTTTCCCGTTATCGAGGAGCTCACTGTCTGACTTGTTCGAATCGGCACTACCAGAATTTCGCAGCTTATCCGGATCTATTGGATCAAAGTTCGAGGTATCCGTCGGGTAATCGATTCTCGGTATGTGCGGTGCAGGTTGTCTCCTTAACCCTTTCTCGAAGTCGATGCTTTTTAGGAATGGGTGAGATTTCACTTCATTGGCGTGGTTGCCGATTCTCTTCTCTTGACCAGAACACAGTTTGAGGATTAGATCCTTGCTCTCTCGAGACAATTTCGCCGCGTCCGGAATGCGAAGCGTACTCTCCCAGTTAATCACCTAGAAAAATAAAAATATTTATTGATAATCTATAAAAAAAGCAGATGCAAAATTGTAATTGTACATTGCCATAATTTTATTTTTCTAATATGAGTCTATTTGTTTGTATGATTACGCCCGGTGAGTGTAAAACTACTGATTTTGTTATAATTTTAAGTAACACATATTGATTAAAAAGTCTTCAAAAGATGGAATATTTTTACAGCATTCAGAAATTATATTAAAATTTATATTGGAAAATCAATATTAATTTTCCTTCAAATTCTTTTAACTTTATATAAATAATGTAAGAATATTAAGTTTTTATACAAGTTTTAGGAATATGATGGTATGTTGTTAATCATATTGTAATTATCCTATGCAAATTAATAATTTTCTCCAATAGTGATAGTTTTCCCTGTATCTATCCTGTAAGGCGTTTATTGTGAGGCTATAGCAATATTTAATAATAAAGTATAACATACCTTGAGTTGCGTCTCCGCAGGTGTTGCCGCCAAGAAGGGCGGAGACCCCACGAGCATCTCGTACAATATGACACCTACAGACCACCAGTCGCACAGTTGCGTGTAGCCGGTCCGCTGGAGCACCTCAGGCGCGATGTAGTTGGGTGTGCCGACCAGTGAGTGCGCTAGACACCGTTGGTGCTCGCGTTTGCGTCGCCTCTCCAGTGGCTTCAGCTGATGGCACCGGCATTCACCCATCGCGCCCCACTCTCCGTCTACAGGGTCCATTGAGTCTTGTCGCCCGTGATCTGAAAGCAACAACACATTATTCATTTATATAACAATAATATATTGGACCATATTATATATAACCTTAAGGACTAACAAATATATAAAATAAAATAATAATATTATCTTTGTGATCACCACACTCATTATGGCAATCTGCCACGGTAGCTCCGGTACACCAACCAGGCCAGTAGTCTACTTTCATGAAGTTGTACAGCATATTTAAACCCCTATCTAGTCAGAATTTAATTTGTTTTTAATAATTTGTGGCTGCTATATTTATTGTATAATGTTGATATAAAGCCTACTCTATTGCTTTACTAATCTATAAATAACCTTCCCTTACTCTTCCTTAAAATAAAGTACGGCCTGTGATTTAAGTCACACGCTAAAATCCGCTAAATGACCGTCTCTTATCAGTATTCAGACAGAAATAATTCTATTACAGTTGTTTCCAATACGTATACTTAAACATACTAACGCCTTCCCCATTTTCGACACTAGAATGCAGTTAGGACGACGTTATTCCAGGACAACATAAAACAAATTATTCTTCAGTATTGGAGAATAGTATGGTGTTGCCTATTTTTTGTACATGTACTTAAAAAGTGCTATTTCAATACAATAATAAAAGTAATCTAATAATAAAGTGTAATTGCGGCTATGTTTATCTTATTCTGAGTAAGAACAAAAATTATACATACCAAGTTTTAGTTACAAAAAAATAATACAGTATGAAAATAACTTACCATTTCGCTGGTAGTATTTAGAATTATGCGTCCACCGGAAGCCCGTACACAAGCCGAAATCAGTTAGCTTGATGTGGCCGTCCCGATCAATGAGTATATTATCTGGCTTGATGTCTCTATGGATGAAGCCCATTTTATGGACACTCTCCACTGCACATGTCAGCTCTGCTATGTAAAATCGCGCCAGATTCTCCTCAAATATACCTAACTTGATTAATAATGACATTAAATCTCCGCCCGGTATGTAATCCATGACGAAGTACAAGTTATCCTTATCCTGAAAACTATAGTATAACTTGACCACCCATTCATTGTCGGCCTCTGCTAATATATCCCTTTCAGCTTTAACATGCGCCACTTGGTTGCGTTTCAGCACATCAGCCTTCCTAAGTGTCTTCATGGCATATAGATGACTAGTATCAATCTTCTTTACAAGAGTCACTTCCCCAAATGCACCCACACCGATAGGCTTAATTTTTGTAAACATTGATTTATCCATTTTTGCCCTTTTCAATCTTATGTAATTAGACTCCTTCTGGGAAAGCATCTTCCTCATTTGGCACTGTGCTTCTGCGCTAAGGCCTATTTTGTTCATTTCTTTTTCAAGCTGCATTCTTCGGAATGTCCGCTGCTTGTATGACTTTAATATATTTTCCACATGTTGCTCCATAAAGAACTTGAAGGCTTGAGGTGAATAATTCCTTACTTTACAATCCCTTCTTTCGTCTTCTTTTTCTTTACTAATATTTTTACGTTCCGGAATAGGTGATTGATGTCGTATCTTCTCAACTTTTGGCCTTCGTTCTGAAGAGCCATTGGAACTCTTATCGGATCCGGAAGCAGCGGTCGTATCCTTCAGAAGATTATTGGTGCAATTTTGATTGGGACACTTTATTTCTAATGGACCCTGAGATGTTTCACCCTTAATGTCGCAATTATTAGAAAACTTTTTATGTAGTGATGTATGGTGGGAATTAACTGTCGTTGTGTTATCGTTTTGGTTACCATACGGTGGAGGGGGTATCGGGTGCATTCCTCTCTGCACAGCGAGAGCCTGCATAGTTATAGCGTAACTTGGAGGTTCAGTGGTGGGTACGGTGGGCGTGGTCGGTGCCATTATGACCGGCGGAGTAGATCCAGGCGAAGACGGTTTAGGTGCTAATGGATAACTTGGTGGTGTTTGAGTCTGCTGTTTCTGTTGTATAGAACTAGCATACGAGGGTGGAGGTGGTTGCGCCGCAGAACTCGCGACAGGCGGTGGTGCAACTGGCGCTATGGCCGTCTGTAGAACAGGCTTTTGAACCTGCGTACTCTTTACCGATTGCATAATAATGGGAGGTTGAACCGCTTGTCTCGCTGTCCACGCCTGAATAGGCGTGGGGCGAGTCATACCCGACGCCGAACCAGTTGATTGCGTCACTGTAATCGGGCTCGGGGAACCGGCAGAAGTACCTCCGGAGTAGATACCTGAAGAGGGACTTTTTCTGTAATCTTGTGACTGTGTCGGACTTTGTCGATTTTGCATGGATACGGAATAAGGTGGTGGCGGCGGTACTCCAGAATGGGGATAAGGAGGTGGCAACTCTGCTCCTCCTGCCCCTGAAGGATAAATGCTCAAAGCTTGTATCTGTTGATTGAGCTGTTGTTGTACTTGTGGTCCATTTTGGACTATCATAGGTTGTCGAGCTGGAGGAGTGGGTGCACCAGCAGCCACTGGACTTGTGCCTCTCGCTGGAGGCAATGGTGGTGCTGGAGACATTCGTTTCATTAATTGCTGCATCGCAGCTGGTACAGGTGGTGTAGAAGGACATCGTGGCGGAGGCGGTGGAGGAGGTTCAGAGAAACCAGATGGCGAGTATTGTCGACTTAATTTCTCGTGTGGCAGTGGCGGAGCATCAGGTTGCCGTGGACTATCAGATCTCGAACTTCCAGCCCCCGAATCTAGAGCAGGGCTTCCTCTATGAAGGTTGGGTTCGCGCTCTAAACTTGGTTTTCTTATAAGTTTTGTGCTGAATGCGCTAAGATTACTTGTCTTGAGAACTCCAATCAGCGGTTCCTGCTGTTTTGATAAATGGTCAAGGGCAGCATCTATACGTCCACCAGTATACTTCAGAGCCCTTAATGCCAAGTCCTATAAAGACAAAGGAAATGCAATGTATATCAAATAGGTTTCTTTAGCACTATTATTAAAAATAATCTTATATATTTTGTTTTTAAAAGATTTATATTTGGTAATTTCAATTCAATACATTAAGATTAGAAATGAAATGTATATCCGGTAACTATCCGGCAGAATACCAGAGAACTGCTATTCAATTTTAATCCAGATTAAAAAAAATATCTGGGTAACAAAATATTTTTCTTAAGTAATTATTTGCTTTATTTAGGTAGTCTTAGTATTACTTAAGGAATAAAATTAGTTTTAGTTTTAAATTTTTAATCACTCAATAGTAAATGACTGTTATAGAAAGAAAATGAATTTATTAGTTAGATAAGTATATCCGACGGATATCCGGCTAGTCAGTTACATGGTTGGCTGATTATCTGGCAAAATTGCTATCCATTTCATCTCTAATTAAGATATTGTTCTAATTATTTTGTTACATATTATTAAAATTGAAGTGTCTGTTTGTAATATTGCAATAACCGTTTTTTACTACATGCATATGAATATAAATATGGTACATACACCAATATAACATTTTTTCAATTTTGGACTGTCTGTCTGTCTGTCAGTTTGTTCCAGCTAATCTCTGAAATTGCTGGAGCGATTTTGGACGGGACTTTTTTTGGCAGGTAGCTAATATAATAAGAAGTAAGTTATTAGGATACTTTTATTTTAGAAATTAAAGTTAATTTCCACATGGATGAAGTCAGATACAGATAGATTATAATAATAACTGTGACTATTAAACATTATGAGAAACTGTTGAATGTGAAATGTGAATACTATAAACATCAGATGGCAATTGTGAGTAGCTATGACGTGGTCTGGTGTTTTGAGTAGTCATGCTCACTAAAATGTCCAGACTTGTGGCGGCGTGGTGGGCCGGGTCATTGGGCTCCCTAAAATATGGTCGAGCGCAGTGATGGCTGGCTCATCCGTCATACTCGTGAACGGGTGCTGCTTGTAGGGACTGGTCTGCTCTAATCACTATGACTGATTTCCTCTTATTAATTGTTTAACCAGTTGGTTATGTATTCAATATTTTTTTCTTTTTGAGTATTTAATTGAATTAGTGCTAATCGGTGGTTTGTATTCACACACTTAAACTTAAATTGTAAGTAAGAATAAATTATTTAAAAGAGCAACACACAAGTTTCTTGCTTGTTCTTCTTGTGATGAGACAGCATTCCGAATGAGCGGTAGATTAAAAAAAAAAAAAAATGTTATGACTATTCAAAAGTGCTTCAATGTAAGTTTATTTGAATAAATGATTTTCTATTCTATTCTATTCTATTCTGTTATCTTCTTTAAAATTGGAGAATTTATTTTAAGTATTTTATTTATACTTACTAGACAACTACAATGTCTTGAATATATATATAAAACAAAATGATAGTGTTGAAAATTGGTTCACAATTGAATTTCAGTCAATTGTGAACAAAATTGTAATATCAATTGTAAATGTCTCTGTCAATTGTTGACAAATTTTACATATAAAAAAAAGAAAGCTATAGAATATAGAACTATTATTTATAACTAAACCTATGTTATGGTGGTTAAAAATAACAAATGTAATGTGCAACCAGCACTTCTTTAATCAATATGAGCCTATTATGCTCAAAATTTGTATTAACCGACACACTGACACCAGGTGGGTCAGTCCGCAATGAAAGTAAATTTATACATTGGGACCAGGTTATCAGCCATGGGCACTTTAATTGAAACAAATCTAGGAGTTAAATAATGTCTACCTCAAATTATTGTCCACTAAAAACATATTTAAAACATAATATTGGGTAGTTAACAATGAAAAAAATGCCACATGTAAGAATAAGATTTTTCAATGTCCTCAACATGTTAAGGAGAGATCTTTATAACACTAAATCATTTATAAAAAGTATTAATTATAATAATAAAATAATTACTAGATTATTCATACATTATAAAAATATTAAATTGTTATGAATAATATTACTGTTAATTCGATAACAATAACAGATGCGAAGTAGCAACAAATAGAAATAAAAAATGTAGGTTTGTTTTACTTTAGATACAGTCTACCAAATGACTGTATAATAGACAAATTGGTATCAACATAAAACTTGTCCCTGTACTCCAATAATATGGAGTATTTATTATTATTATTGAAGATCATATATACATTTGTATAAATTCACTATTTGTTACTGTACTCTTGTTAATTAATTTCATATTCTTTGTTAATTTTATAATGTGCCTTTATACATAATGATGTAAATTTTTTAGAATTAGTCTGTTGTTATTTGTGAAAGTCTGTCAGTGGCTTAGTATGATGTTTATATTGATTTTATTTAGGTATTGTCAGCCTTGGTTTTCCTTTAATAAATAAATATTCGGGCAAAGACAAAATAACATAGTAAGGCTATCCCTTTCCTGTTTATAGAGAAACATATGTATGGTTTTTAGACTGAGTAATGATGACAAAATTAGGATTTCAAAATATAAGATATGGAATGGAGATATATAGATGCTAACACAAGTCTAATTGGAATTTTATATGGTGTTTGCATATACTACTATTATTGTGTAGTTTAGTTAAAAATAGAGTACATTATTCCAAGTGTTATTGAATAACAGAAAATATTCTCCAAATATGTTTATGTTTATGTCCTCAAGACCAAATCCATATATTTATTTATTGATTGAAGATATATAACACTTACATACTTTTAATCATCACTAAAAAACTCAAATTTAAACATTAAATAACAATCATTTTTTCTCTTTTCGTTTAAGCCAGGAAGATTATGTGAGCGATAAAACTTCTATTTATACTTTATTATTGTTACAATAAACTGTGTAAATCCAGATAGATACATACCTCATCATATCCCAAGGTGAGAAGATGATTGACAGACTGTGAGGGCACATTCAAATCTTTGTCGAGCCCATTGACTGATGAAGCACTAAAACCAGAACTCACTCCTGAGCTAACGGTGCTTGCTGCTGAAGAGCCAGGAGGCTCAGAGTTTCCAATATTAGCAAATGGAAGTAGGGAGTTGCGAATTTCGGCGAGCGCCTTCTGGTGGTAGCCCGAGGAGCGCGTAGCCGTCTTGCCGGGCGCCGGCGGGTTCATGGCGCCCGCGCCCGAGCGCCTCACCTCTCACCCCACCCCTCCCATCACATGAGCACACCCCACCATCCACACATACCCGCGGTAATAGTTTGCATTTACACACACTTGGATACTATTTCACTGTGATCCCTGCTGGTACAGATATTGTACAGTTCAAATTCTTCTATCTCTCACAGTCCACTGTTTGCCAACATTGTTTATTTTCACAATAGTTTGGTAACACTGCAAGCAAATGAGAATAAATTAAACATCGTCATTAAGTTAATTTACAATCGAGTTTTTATGTACATTGTTATTGTCAGTAAATATAAACTGCTCACTAAAAACATTGATCATGTCAACTAAAAGTATTTTTAATAACAGTAGATGAATAATATTATTATTATAATAATAAACAAGAGACTTGTTTCATTGGTGCAGTTTATATACACGAAAATATTCAACATGAATCTATCATGACATATAACTGTGGAATGCCAAAATTAGAGACGGCTTTGTTTTGTACGCCTAATTCATTTCAAGATTTTAGTTTTTAAAACATAAAAAATTTCAATTACCTGAAGCTTTATGAGTTTTGGGGAATCAAATGGGAATCACAAACGTCATAATCACGTAAAATAAAAATTGTAGTCGAGAGCTCTCACATTACCGATGACATCTTTCTTGTAGAGCACTATATACGATTGAATTATTAATGTTCATACATAAATTAAACAACGGAGAAATTAGATGTACTTTCGTCCAAATAATACAATAATGAAAGAATTATGAAAACAAAGAACTCTGAAACACAGACATGCAAGTTGGCAAACCATACAAAGCGACCATTTTGAAGAATTACCACATTCTTTTGTATGTTCAGAAACAGCATGCGACTGAGTTTTATTAACTATTTTACTTTTTTACATTTATAACTTGTGATATAGAGATTGAATAAACGACTGAAAGATATAAAAGAAATATCTAACGTATTATTAAAATCTAAAAATTCTTTAATACTTAATATTGTTTATCTTATACATATATTTATGTTTCCGATTTAATGGGAAATAATTTCTGAACACAACTTTAATATGGATCAATTTATTAAAATAAAACTAATAAAAAGACTTGTTTCTTATTTTTATTTTCTATCTTACTGTAGATTGTATAGTTTTTTTTTATAAAATAAGATAGTTTTATTTTATTTATATACAATATGCGTGTGGAGTATGTGTATAAAATTATTGTAACTTTGATTAAAAATATTTAGTCAAACTAGAATCAACTTAGTGAAATGTCAATGTCATTATCACTGTCAAGACAATTTTGTCAGTCATGACTTGAATTGAAGTTCATTTAATTCCAGAAAGTCTTATTTGTCTTCTTCATTACATTATTTTAAATTTCAATTTTGTATTCTTACCGGTACTGTGTTTAATTATAAGATGAAAAAAAGGAGATTTTAATTTAATTAATTACATACAGTTCGCGATATTAGTGTTAAGAGCATATAAATATATAAATAGCGCAGTGTAATTTTAAAATAACACAATGCATATTTTGGCAACGTTATGTTTCCTATTTTTACCATATTTTGTGGCTCTTGAGGAAAATGCAGTTTATGAATATAACCCAAATAACTTTAAACAACAAATTGAAGAAATGGATGGGAATTTCGTCATGTTCTATGCTCCTTGGTAACCGATTTAATTAAGTTAAGAAAATTTATCTTTGGAAGTCTAATTTGAGAATAATATGTATTTATTTTGTCCTTTCTTGTAGGTGTCGACATTGTACAATTTTCCATCCGATATGGAACGAATTGGCCGAACTTGTAAATACAAAGGGATCAAAATTTGCAATTGCTCAAGTAGATTGCACATTGCATCCCAGATTATGTCATGAAAATGATATAACAGGTACAAAGTATGAGATTAAAGCTTGTCAGTTTTCTTTACAGCTTGAAGAAGTGATAGGTGTACATATATAGGTTGATTAATGTAAAAGTTTGAAGAAAATTAGGGTGCATGCACTGTATTATGTAGGAGCACTGATCATAGTCAAACTAAATATACAATCAATATTAGATCTTTCAGTTTTCTCAAAAAATACAGTACCACCATACACATAGCTTGTTTGCTATAATATTAGAGTGATAAAAAAAAAAAAAAAAATGTTATGACTATTCAAAAGTGCTTCAATAAGTGTGTATCCAGTGAGAGGATACTAGGGGAGCTTATATGTATAGGCTTCATTTTTGGTACTTATATCATTGATTGCACTTACTTAGTTATTAGTGTTTTTATTATAACAATAAACATTGGCTTGTTATATTTTTAGTGTTTTTGTTATAGCAATAAACTTTAGCTTATTGGTTAAGTATCATAAATTATGGTTAATTTAATCATTATTAATTGTGTATCATGACTTAAACTGTTCTACAGTTAATAAAACAAAGATAACAAATTTCATTATATATACTGTTATATATTAATAATGATTTTGTTACAGGATATCCAACACTTTTATATTTTCATAAAAATACATTTACACCAGTTGAATATAAAGGCACAAGAGATCTACCGTCACTGACATTGTTTTTAAGTGAAGCCTTTACTATGAAATCAGATGTAAGTTTTCTGTGAGGGATTTATTGCTGATTACTATTTAGATCTATACAATAATATTATTGAATTTCCACAACTGTTCTATATATATATAACTAAAAATAAATTGAATTGATGTTATTGTGTTTAGAATTGTCAGAACAATGTATGAGACAAAATATTTGAAAACAATGTTACAGAACAATGAAAACATTGAGTTTAATGTTGTCCTTTAATTAGATATTATTATTTAATTAAAATATTACCATTTGTCATCTTATTTAATCATAGTAAAATTAATTATCATTATATACAGCATATTTTGATCTTATTTTCTTCACTAGTACTTTGTGTGAATCTAAAGCAGTCTAATAGCATTTAACTAGTGATACTTTAAAAATATAAAAAGTCTATCAGTTGAGTTTCCAGCCAGTTCTACTCAGCTGATGTAGCTAGCCATAATGCATCATGTTAATATATTTTATCAGTATGCATAATGATAAAATATATTAACATTATTAGAACAAATGTTCTGTATGAATAAAATATCTGGACATTGTGTTTCAGAGTCCAGAAAATGTGAAGGAGTCAAGTGAAGTAAAAATATACAGTGGTATGGCATACTTCACAGATCAAAATATAGAGAAGTTTGTATCTAAGGGGCAACACTTCATTATGTTTTATGCACCATGGTGTAAAGCTTCACAGGTAATAAAATTTTCAATTAAATCTTATTAGAACGATACAAAAGTTGTATTAGAGAATTAAAGAATGTTTTGCTTAAACACAGAATAGATATTAATAAATATAATTTCGGGTTTTGTGTCATATGTAAATGTATTAAGACATTATTCAAAACAAATTATATTTTTTATATCTATATTGCTATCTCAGCTGAAGTGATAACTATCATCTGTATAAATATAGAAATCATCTAACAAACATCTTTATATTATCATATACTAGTAATTTTTTATTATTGGTGTAGGTTGGACTCCATTTTCTGCAATTGGCCTCTCATTCGGGCCGTTGTGCGTGTAATTTTTTATTATTATCTATACATATAAATAAAATTGGAGCGTCTGTTTGTAATGTTGAAATAACCGTTTTTTACTACATGCATATGAATATAATTTTGACGACCTCGGTGGTCCAGCGGTCTAGTACACCGCTTTACGACCGATGGTCGCGGGTTCGATTCCTCGCACGGCACAAACATTTGTATTCATGAGTATGATTGTTTGTATCGGTCTGGGTGTTTTCTATATATAATATGTATATATTTACAAAAAAAAAAAATATATCTATGTATTTGTATCAGTTATCTAGTACCCATAACACAAGCTTTAGCTAGCTTAACTTGGGTCTAGATGGCGCTGTGTGAATTGTCCTAAGATTATTATTATTATTATTATATTATTATTATAAATATGGTACATACACCAAAATAACATTTATTACAATTTTTGTCTGTCTGTTCTGGTTAATCTCTGAAATTGCTGGACCGATTCTGATGGGACTTTTATTGGCAGCTAGCTGATGTAATAAGGGGTAACTTAGGCTACTTTTATTTTAGAAAAATAAAGTTAAATTCCATGCAGAGGAAGTTGCGGGTGACAGCTAGTTGACTATAAAATACAATATTTTACTACTTTTACAGAAAGTAGCACCAATATGGGCAGAACTGGCTGTGGAATATGCTCACAATGAGTATATTCAAATAGGAAAGGTGAACTGCATGGACAATGATATAACATGCAAGAACTTTGATATCAAAGAGTTTCCACACCTTCTGTGGATTGTTAATGGTAGAATTGTAAGTACCCAGAATATATTTGTGAAATTATTTAATAATTTACCAGTTGAACTGTTATAGTTTTGTCTCGGGTAAAATTAGGTTGAATACATTTATTATTATGTGGTACATGGGTAAAATTTGTTGTATTTAAATACACTTTGCTATTCCAATTACAATATTAAAAAAGGGCATATTATATTTTTTTTTTTATTTGCAGATGGGTATAGCTGATGTGGGTGAATTGGATGACCTTAAAATGTATGTAGAAAAGATGTTACTGGCTGAAAATCATGACCCAGAGAAATTTATGAAGAAAAAGAAGGCACTGCCTGTTGCAAGGATATCAGAGGAGACATTTGAAACATTCCTTGAGAAGGATTTAGTGTTTGTCAACTTTTTTGCACCTTGGTATGTTATTGGTTTCCTTTTTTCAAAATATAGATAGATAAAACTTCTTTTTTATGTTAAAGGGCATTCACACAAGGTACAGTAATGTAAAGAAAAAATGCAAAGTAAATACACAACTAACTTGCTTAGTTAACAATATATACCATACAAACCAAAATGTATGAGTAATGTTGTTTGTTAATATGTGTAGGTACAAAAAACGTGTGAGTAGTGCGTGTGCAGAGCCCATACGCTAAAAAATATCGTCTGCTGTTAGGTCACGTCTATTGTTATACGAAAAGTATAAATTTTTTTCGTAACAACAAAAAATTAAATTATGGATCACCTTAATGTTGTGACTCATAGAGAGTTGTAGGCTTATAGCACAGCAAGCTCTTGCAGTTGCTGGTCCCTTCTGATCTTCATATATCATTTATTAATTTTGTAATAATCAAATATGACGATTTCTCCAACGCGGAAACACGCGACGCATGACGGAGGTTGATTCCGCAAACTTCTAACAACTGGGTTTATGATTTATTTTTTACTAGCTACCCGCCCCGGCTTCGCACGGGTGTACATGTATTATACATATAAACTTTCGTCTTGAAGCACTCTATCTATTGCAAAGAACTGCATTAAAATACGTTGCGTAGTTTAAAAGATTTAAGCCAATAGACATTGGCAGCGCCTTCATGTTATACTATGTAAATAAATATTTATTATTTCAGGTGTGCACATTGTATGCAATTAAGCCCTCTATGGCTGAAGCTCGGAGAAAAATTCCAAAATGAAAGTCGCGTTTTGATTGCCGACGTGGATTGTGTGCGATCAAAACCTATTTGTGAAACAGAAAAGGTATTTATACTTGTTATTTTTCTTAGCAATAGCCAATTGTTAGAATTTAGATTAGAAATTTGAATAGCCGGTTATGCTATATACTCATTTGTGGACCGTAGGTCAAGCTATTTTATTATCAGAATTTTTTTATGGGCGACCATATACATGGGCGATGATGTCGTAAATTTGTTTTTTAATTTCTCATTGAATAGTCTATTGTTTTTAGTGGGGGCTGGGGGCCTTTTATATCAACGGGGCCCTGGACTGCAGCCCAAAAAGATCTTAGGTAGATGCGCCCCTGGGAATATACAACTTATATAATAAATACTCAAATATAAATATATTTTTGTAAATACATACATAGAAAACAAGCAAACCTTACACGCTGAAAACATTATTACTCATGACTCATGAGTATCACAAATCGAACCCGCGACCATCAAAAGTACGCCATGCCGTTTCATGCGAGTTAAGTTGCTCACCATGTAGTTAATTCATTTTTAAACTTATACTAAGGAATATTTGGAAACTTTACCACTATACATATAGAAATATATTGACATTATCATTATTATTTCTTTTTAGATTAATGGGCTTCCAACTCTAATACTGTATAAACATAAAAAGATAGTAAGTATTGAATATGGCGGCCGACCACTCGAAAGTTTAATCACACTAGTCAACGAACATCTACAGAGCGCGGAGGATGCACCGGCCTCGGATACAATCAGTAACGAGGAAAACAAGTCACAGACAACCAAAGATGAACTATAGATTAAAAAAAATGACTGACAATGCATCTTTTATTTATCTCTCTTTTAGAAGTGTCACTCTGATAAATTACAATATCAAGGTCATGCTCGACGAAGCACGCTAGTTTCGCAGGCGGGAGCAGTATTATGATATCCACAACGCGGACATTCTACTACTGCAGTGGGAAAGAGAAAATTTCTGCCTATCCCTTCATCTATTCTATTATCCATCTTACGATTACCTCTGTCTTTTTTTAGCCGTATAGCAGTTTGATTTAATAATAAATAATAATAGTAATCTCAGGACAATTCACACAACGCCATCTAGACCCAAGTTAAGCTAGCTAAATCTTGTGTTATGGGTACTAGACAACTGATATAAATACATGGATGCATTTTTTTTGTAAATGCATACATATTATACATAGAAAACACACAAACCAATAATCTTCATATTGTAATTTGGTTATTATTTCTAATACCAGTTTTATTATGTTTAAAACATGTTTGTGCACTCATGAATACAAATGTTTATACCGTGCGAGGAATCGAACCCGTGACCTTCGGATTGTAAAGCGGTATGCTAAACCACTAGACCACCGAGGCTTTCTTGTCATGATATGTATGATAAGTTTTAGTTAAGGTGCGAGAATAGGCAGTGAATTAGTGATTACAGAGTACAGGGGCATGACATCTTAATCCCCTAGATTAGCAACGCATGTGTACAGCCATAAAAGTCAGACGTCGTGAACACATAGGCGACAGTTGTTACTTATATAAAAAGAAAACAAATATGAAGAGAAAATGTTTTTATATGTTCGTTACATACGACAAATTAAATATTTTCTTATAATAAAAAAGACTCAAAAATAGTTGTCTGGGTTTTAAATTTCTATTAAATTTTATATTACTTATAGCATTTTTGAAAATAAATAAAATATCTCAAATAAAAGCAACTAAATAGCTAAATTATTTATTTATATAACTTTTACATAAGTATAGAAGTACTTTTGCTGAGCCTAAAACCTCGTGGTAATATCGGCGAGTAACGTAGGATCTAATTACCTATTATCGTCCAACCGCAAGTTAAATGGTCCTTCAGAACAGGATAGTATAACGGCCAATCGGCTTAATATAGATTATTTTTGGTATTTCATTCCTACCCGTCTAATATGTTATATTGACCGAGTCGCCTCTTATGATATTCAGGAGATAAAAAGTAGTACTGAAATATAGGTCTTTCCTCTTTCGGCAAGTAAAGTAGTAAGCCTATATATTTTTATGGGTTACGATAAGAATGAGAATAAAACATTTTAATGCCTTTACCTTTTATTAAAGATATATGATGGAATACATTTGTAGTACATTTGTTTACAAGATTATAAATATATAAATTATGGAAATTTAGAAAACACCTGGAAGGTGAGGATTAAATAAATAATTTCTTAACTTCACATCAAATCCTAACAGGATTTATATATTTATTAGCCAAAATCATATGTTAAACCATGATACAGAACTTTATTGAATTTGAACTTTTTATTTAACTCTATAAGAATAATTGAAGCTATATATCTATACTGTAAAGCTATCTTCAATTTTCAACCTAATATTGTAGAAGGAAGAAATATTATTTATTAAATCATATATATGAGATAGAAACAAAAATCAATGATACTATGTTTTTCTATGTTTTTGTAAAACTTCAACTTGCTATAAAAATAGTTCAATAGCTGACAAATGTACTTTTGATGCAAATATAATCAAAACAAAGAAATAACTCCAGGTTAATCTTAACCTATACAAAATAACTGCAAAACTTCTTGCTTCCATAAAAAGTCTTTCATCAGCCTCAAGCAATCAATCAGATTGACTAGATAATACCCTACATAAGATAATGTAATAAGCTCCTTATAATTAAGTATTTTACCATAACATTATTCACTTAAAAAAAACACACTTTTTGCGTGTCCCAAAATTTTTGAATTGATACATTGCCATCTATGCCCCACCCCTTTGAAAAGCGCCAATCGAATTACAGTGACGGCAAGGTTATTTTAGAGTGACCTTAATAATAAAATACCATAGTTAATGACTATTATAAAGGTACTAAAACCTTTTTTTAACAGTTTGTGACTGGAAGAATTCCCCATCTGCTTGTGTTGCCTGTTTGTTGATTTGTCGGTGTCTGTCCCTTGACACTATCTCTTCTAAAACCTCTCCATCACCTTTTATTAACCTGAAAGGAAGAGAGAACTGAGGGGCAGCAAATAATCTCCACAATGAGGAGCCATAAACAATTCAGTAATTATATATTATTCATACATTATTACTGTAATTGGTCTGTCTAATACATATAATAATAAGTATTAGATTGGATTATATTATTACAAAAATCCTATTAATTAATAAAATAATATAATGCTCTTTAGATTTACATTGACTGAAAAGTAAAAGTTTAATCCGTCACATTTAAAATTCATTTTTATTCTATTGTACCCTAGCAAATGTAATGTCATACATATAACTCTAATATCATGCAACCATTGAAAGAATAAATTATATTTACTGCTGTATCTACACTGAACATCCTTATCAGTACAGTGGTTTCCTATCCCAACTTAGAACTAAATGGCCTCAAGTTCGAATCTGATTGCCATGAAAAAAGAATATCAATTTTATTTTATTTAATAAAATAAGAATGATGTTAAATTGTGAATAAGAATGATAGGATAACCTGTGTCTGCCTGTTTCTTCATCCAGTACCCTACGGACAACACTCTGGCGCTGTTCCCACTCTTCTTTAGTCATAGGAGCCATAGCTTTTGATTTTTCCATCAATTCTGGAATACATATAAAATATAAGCAACATTAACATTTACTATAATAACAACATTGATTGGAAAATACAAGTAAAATTGATATTGAAGATTGATTGATATTCCAAAGAGATATAAAAGATTGTTTACTACTAAATATAGAAGATTATTCTACTGCTTCATTTAATTTGAATGGCTTCCACTAACTAAGATAGACGATTTTGCCAAAGTCGTGGTTAGGGAGACATAGTGGTGTAGTGGTTCATTGGCCAAGAATTCTCAATGTGGCATAGATTGTTATAAAACATATTATGCACTTTTGCATTTATTATTTTGAGTGAAAATAAATAAGTACAAGTATATTTCTGACCTAATGGAATGTCAGCAGGTGGTTCATCTGTTTTGTTTAAGTCCTCACTGCGACTCCTACTTGGACTCTTGATGCTACGTCTCTTTTTAAGTTTCTTTCTCTCATCTTTTAGCTTCCTTTTTAAAGCTTTCTCAGTTTTCTTTCGTTCTTTCTTTAGTTTCTTTTTTAGTTTGCGTAGTTTCTTCTTTTCTTGGGACGAATCCGAACTGCTTGAACTAGAATCATTATCCGATGTGGACCTTTTTCTTTTCTTTCGTTTTTCTTTACCCATACTTTAATAGGTTATAAGACTCCTAGTAACAATATATTTATACATTTATTTGTTGCCAATATTAATAACAATCGATATTTGTAATTATATTTCACTATTAAGCCACTCGGTAATAATTATTCTATATTTATATTCTATATATATTACTTGAAATTACCCCCCGATTTAATTTTTAGTCACATATTTAGCTGTCGATAACCAAACTGCTGAGTTTTACGATATTAATTAAGCAAATAATCCTGCAAGCAAACTCGTCTACAGATTGCTGATTTTATATTTGTAAAAGACACAAAGAAATGTAACTAAGGAATAAAATCAAGCAATACCATGGAAATTTCAAAGCAAAAATCATAAAGTTCAGTCACCTTTAAAATTTGTTTGATCTATGATATTTGGTCTGAAGTAGTCTGAATCAATGAGAATGACGACTTGACTGACATTTTTTTGACACTTTGATATCTAATTCCACAGATTTATTATTACCTATTAGACGATAGTTCTTTTTCATTAGCATAACTTAATGGTTATTTGCTCTAATATGCAAAAAATGTTATCGATAGGCAAGCAAAGGTTACAATTGCTTGGCATTTGTAATATCAAATGTAATGCTAATAAAATATTGAGATGTATAAGATGTTCAATTGAATATATTAATGGGTTTACTGTCTATGCTGAAACTGTAATAAGTGGCACATGGCATTTCTAAGCCAATATTCTTTAATATTAATATTATCATCATTAAACAGACTGAAGAGTAAACTTTGATTATTAATACATGTCTATTCACGCTACACCATAATAAACCTGATCACCTTTTCTTTAATATATGCAACTGAATAGTTTTACACCCTTACTGCGGCTAAAAGCTACCCTCTTTGAACCTTTGTCCTATATAAACATTTTATATATCATTGTGCCACTTATACTTGATTGACGATTGAGCTGCGACACGTCACGGGAGTTCCGATGAATAATTGAGGGTGGTGCACGCATGCGCCGGACGTACGCGAAGACAATTAGGATCACTTAACACGAATTACATTCCACTACTTAATCGGAGAACTAAAAATGATAGCTGTATGTAATGACGATAATTAATAACATGCGCTGATATGCGCTAGTTTTGTGTTTATATTTGTAAATTAATATGCGCGGTCTATATTGAGAAGTAAGCACAAGTCAATAGGATGCAAGCGGGGGGCCCGGATAGCGCAGCGGTCTCAGAGGCCCCCAGCAGCGGCAGCGATGATTCGGACTGCGAGCAAGGACTTGAAGGGGACGCGGATGCGGCCCTTACAGAGGAATGGGCAAGAGAGTTGCTGGCAAGTGCGGGCGTGGTCGCCGCTAGCGAGGTATAGTTATGAAATTTTTAATATCTTCAATTAATATTTGTATAGATTATTTTCTTATCAATAGTATCAATATTATTTAGGTGACTACCTGCTTCTGTTATACCTACTCGCAGTAATTTTTTTACCATTGAATTTTTTTCTTAAACAATATCTTACATTTAATATTATTAATAAGTAGTAATTACTTTCTGTCGTATACCTATTGTATGAACTTATGGTATTGTATGAACGATATTCTAAAATAATATTATTTATTGCCAATTCTTCATAGCTAAATCTGAATTATGAATATGGCTGAAAAAAAAATTACTTGGAATATTTTTATTTCCTTTACGATGCTTAAGTTTAATTTATTTAAATAAGAATTATTTTTTATTCAGTATTGCTAAATAATAATACATTCAAGATTTAGAAGAGCTGCTGTTAGGAAAGCAAAAAATGTATCTGCATTATGTATGTAGAAACAACACAGTACTAAACCGTTTTAATTGAAAAGTAACTATCATAATCGATTTTCAACTAACCACTAAGCCTGATCACAATAGACCTACTTAAAAAACGTAAACAATAATTATCTATTTTTGAGAAGATAATGATTAAAATAAATACAATTTTTTTTAATAATTTATAGGTTCGAGTGGAATCCCGTGCAGGAGTGGCTGGTGCTCTCAGCCGAGTGTTAGCTGTCACTGTATGCTATGAGAGCAATGGGGAATGTAGATCTTTGCCCCTTGTAGTCAAGCTACCTCCCAGGGACCCATTTGGGCGACTGTTCGTGGCCGAGGCTCAGTTCGATACTAGAGAGATACTCTTCTATACTGAACTGGCGCCGGCACTGAATAAATTGGCTGAAGAGGATTTGGGCCCAGGAATGGGGCTACCTGTACCTCGATGTGTGAAAGCAAGATTGCCAGGTTTGTATATTTCTTGTGAACTACGGTTCACCTGCAGTCTAATTTAAAAGAAATGGTCCCCAAGTCCACAGGATCATTTGCCCGCCCGCGTTATTATTTCGTCTTCAATTAGCATTTATTTACTTTTTACTGTTTACTCGGTCCTATACTAAATTTATTCAAGTAGAGTTTATAGCATTTATGGTATAGTCCTAGTGGTAGTTCAGAGAATAGCGCATTCAAACAAACACATTCTCTTACGTACATATATTATTATATTTATATTATTTACATGAGAGCTGCGTGAGATCTACATTGACATTGCTGTTATTCCAGTCAGGTCGAGACCACGGCTTGTGCCATCTAATCGAAACGTCGAGAGAGGAAAATACCTTTATTTGCCATAAAATTATTCGTCACACAGCGTCTTAACACGAATATTTTTTTAATTTATAATAATGTACATTATTTTACGTTACATATTATACGGTGTTATTAACGGAATATAGTTAATAACACGGTATATTGCAACTCAGTTTCATAATATACGACATTCATGTAATAAGGCGAACAACACACAATATGCACCGCTTACAAGAAAAATAAATCATAAATGCAATACCAGTTAACTACTCCATTTTTCGCCATGAACAGATCTAAATGTTAACTAACACAAAAATTTAAAATTACAGATGAAATTGGCGGTGACAGTGAACTAGTTTTAGAAGATGTGACGTCAATGGGTTTTGAAGCTGCAGATTTCGCTGAAGGCTTGAGTGAGGAGAGAGCGCGATCTGCTCTTCATTCTGCAGCACGACTCCACGCTCTATCCTTGGCACTCAGAGAGAGGGAGGGCCCACTAGATCAACGGTTCGACTTCTTGTTTCCCTGCGAGAGGGCTGCCGCAGGATATCTTCGCCTCGTCCGACGTGGCCTACCACAGCTAGAATCATTTCTGAAAGGTCGAGTTGACTGTGTAGAAGAAGCCGCAGCTGTCTCAGCCTTAGTAGCCAGGGCTCCTTCTTTACTTGGTACTCTATTGCGACCAGCCGAACCAGCACCTCTAGCCCATGCAGACTTTTGGAGCGGCAATCTTCTATTTAGAGAAAAAGATGGAGTCACTGAATGTATAGCTTTAGATTGGCAGATGGTGTCACTCGGGAGGCCAATGGATGATGTTGCACTTTTGCTTTTATCGTCTCTCACTCCTGAGATGAGAAGAGCCGTAGGTGATTCATTAATAGAAGAGTATGGAGATCGTTTAGAAGCCGAATGTGCTAGATTAGGAGCAGCTGCGGCTGGTGCTACAGTCAGACGGGGACTTAGACCTGACTGGCCTAGAGCAGCTCTAAGAGCGCTTCTACTCTGCGCTGGAAGTGTCGATGTCGCGTTGGGTGAACCAAGAGCTGAGAAAAGACTACTTGAGGCTGTGAAAGATCTGCATGTGCAGGGCGTACTCTCATTGCGTCCTGATACAGAATCGTAAAATTGTGCGCAAATTATTCATGTGCCAAGAGTGTGCTGAATATACTTATTAACCGTTCATCGTAATGCAGAAAGCAAACAGTCCAGGATATATCCTTAGATAGCATTTATTTCATGCACAAATTACATTTTAGTGGTGTGTTGTTTCTCATTAGTTTTATTTTATTTACAACTGAATTCGATGGATTCCTTGGCCAATGGTGGCTAAAGGTAAAGCCTAATCAAAGACTGAATTTACGTATATCTACATCGTGCATCTATATACGTTTGTATGTGGATACCTATTGTAGATAATTTAATTGCTCATGATATCAAGGCTAGAAATCATTGCGGTCTATTGACTATTATTTAATTAAATTGAAAATTAAATTACTTACATTAAACTCTGTGTTTTACTTCATCTTAGAATATTTAAAAATAAGTTATCCACAAATGTTCTACTTCGTGGTTTTCATTGCCTTATAATTAATATCACAGTAATTGACTTAAAAAGCGATAGGTGTAATACGCTTATTGGGTACTAAAGCATCTAACATATTATGCAACTCATGAGTATTATGTACGTTGTTGTATATTCTGAGAGCATATAGAAATCTCTAAAATCAAAGTACCATTTCATATATTTGTTACTAAATACAGCAATAAGACTGTAGATTTAATTCTAATCATACCTACCTGAGATACAATCTGTTGTTAGCTACAAACATACTTTCGCATAGAGTATATGTTCCATATTTTTTTACAACTTTAACTTAACTCTACGTGTATATAACACAATTATACACATTCAATTTTTCATTTAGAAAAGTAACTAAAAATAACTGTAACAAATTTTATTAGATCAAAGTTATATAGTTTGCTGTAAACATTAATTGAGCAGAGGAGCAAATTATCACTACGATTTAAATTCAAATAAATTGACAAGTGACATAGTCAGAACTGACAGTCAAAACCATAACAAATAACAAAATCGTTATTGTCAACACTTGACCTTCGTTTTGTGATGTCTAACGTATTATATTGTGCGCTCATCACATATAAATAATTAATAATAATTATTTGGAAATGTTATTAACACATTAAAATTTAACTACATTGCTATCGTTTTAAGTGCATAGTGATGGCTCAACAGAACCAAGTGAACTTGGATATTGAAGATGAATCCCCAACCGAGGGCACCTCACGTAACAACCCCTTGCATAGATTAGACTCCAATAATAGACCAGCGCTTTTAAATAGGAATAACCTGGGTCTGGGAGATCGTTTAAATCATGTCATCAGAGAAATCAGGCCTTTTGTGGAAAATGCACGAATGGTATATAATTTATATTGTGATGCAATTGTTAATCTCCATTTTAGGTACAAGATTCATGTCTACAGTCTATATTGTAGATAAAGAACATGAAATATACATTAAACCATATTTTGGTATATATGTAGGTATCATAACTATATCCCAATAATACATGCCTGAGTTTCTGATTGTAAGAGGAATATATTAGCTTATCACATTATTTACATACACATTCTCTGTGTCATTGAGGAAATTCGAAATAAAAGTCTATATCAAGGATCTGACTAACATATTTACATTTAGTAATTTGGAATAGTAGACTTAGAATAAAAATACAATAAAAGACCTTTTACTTCTTTGTTTTTTTACCATTTTAAGTCGATCTACAAGTAGTTCTAGAAACCATTGTGGATTATTAGTGTAGTGCATGGATCGCTGCAGGTATAAGAGGATAGTGCAACAATGAGCTGACTGACTTGACTTTATCTTCACTATATCATTCTCAACTAATTCCCTGTACATACCTGTTATCACAGGCCAGTACACAATCTATAAATTGAGAAGAACTGGCAAGAAACTTAATTGAATAACTTTTTTTTTGAAAACCAGTTTATTTATAATGTTAGTTTATTTATAATGTTAGTTTATTTATATACTTAGGTGTCTATGTCATTGAATAAAAATTCCGTGCATGAACAACTATTGCAATGCACACTCGTAATTGAAGTAACAATTTAGTGAGTAATAGGCTTTGCTCAGTAAATATGGTATAACAGGGAACACAAAAAAGTAATTTTAACTTTTAATTAATTTACATAAATATAAATCATATAACCCTTGGTCATATATCACATGTGAATGATTAGACCAAGTTTACTAATTTTTTTTTATGTGGTTATAAAAGAAAAAAAAGGTGTCCAAACATTAGAAAAATAAATTGAAGGTCCATAGTTTCCCTGCTGTTCTGACTATTTCATCTTCCCATCTATTTGGTTGTCCTCTTTTTTTTTGTCCTTGGCTTAGGTACTAAGTAGTTATGACCTTGCTCCATTTGTCCTTTCATGTGTGGCCAATCCTGAGCCATATCAGCTAGTTCTTGCTAGTTCTAGTTTTGACATTTATATTCTGTGTTTTAGTTATATTTCTAATGGTTTGGTGGTTTATTTTTTCTCTTTCCTGTCATACTTCTTTTCAAGGTATTTTGACAAGTTCTTAGTTTGATTTCTTGTTCTTTTTTAAGAGCCTATGTTTTGCATCCGTAAGTTAGTATTAGGAGTATAGATGTGTTAAGTATTTGCCTTTTACTTTGTTATTATTTTTTTAATTTTCATTATTTCTTTGATGGTCCAGTATTGTTTGAAAGCCTATTCAGTTTTATGTCTATTTATTAATTGCTTAATATATTAGTAGTGAGTCTTTTGTAAGTTGATACTGAGGCCCACTTCTTTCCTTTTTTGGTCTATGTTCTGTGACATATTTTGAAATTCTGTGGCAGATTTTGTAAACAGCACTACATCTTTTAGTTTCATAGTTATGACAAGACAACATCTGTTGGGTCAGTTAATACTTCAAATTACTTTAATAGCAACTAAAATAATTCCACCCTTTTCAAGGGCAATAATGGGAGACTGTCATTACCAACATGGCTACCAAGACAGACACCGGCAACTCATCAAACCAGTGAATCCCAGAGACCACAAAGCTCAATTGCACATGTTGGCAGTCAGACTTACGGGGTCACTGATAGGGGAACTCAATTAAGCCTTAATATGTTACATGAACCTAGCATGTCTGATGAAGAGCATGTAGATATCAATGTGTCAGTGAATCCAGCCAACAATAATAACATTCATGATAATACTGATAATGAAAGTCAAAGTGATGATGGTGGTACACAGCAGGTATGTATTTACATTTTTATTATTTTTAAAAGCTGAGCGTTCTAATAGGAGCGCTTGCGATTTAGTGCGAGAAAATGGCGCAATCCTCAATTTTAATTTATTATAGAGAAAACGCATTTATACCATGTGTGCTGTTGCATGGTGCGGATGACAGTTTCAGTAAGGTTTCATTTCACTCTTGAAAGTTGCTGCCACAGTTGAAAATTTACAAATTATGACTTAGATTTTAGCTGTACCACATGCGTAAAGTATTAAATCATTATTAACTGTAGTACTTAACTTAAATTTAACCCAGCCAGATTGTTCTGTTCTACTAATAAAGGTAATTATAACCGCACCATGCTACAGCGTACATGCTATAAGTATCTTTTGTATTAACACTGTTCCTCTTTTTGGGAGACTGTTTATTATTTATTCAATAAGGCAATAAAGCGCGCATGATTGAAGCCGCTGAGTGTGGTCTTTCTTATTCTCTTCTCAGCATATCTCAGCGTGTAATTGTAGACAACATTTATACACTCTTTTTGTTTTCAATTTCATATGTAAGTCGATTTGCAATGTACTACTACTTTGGTATGGTAAAACTGATTACAAACTATTATTGTATGTTTAAAATATTGTGATTTTTATATATTTACTAGCTACTTGCCCTGGCTTCTCACGGGTATACATGTATTATATCTATTTAAAAAAAAATCACTTCAAATCCTTTGCATAGTTTTAAAGATTTAAGCATACATAGGGACAGACAGCGACATTATTTTATACTATGTAATGATGATGAAGCGTTTTATTTCACGTTTTGTGTGAAAACAAATTAACAAAAAGTTTGTATACACATGAAACCTCAAATTTGTAAAACAACAGTATAATATTCATATCTGTTTATTTAATCTACTTCAAGTAATGGTTAGTAAGATTAAATAAAACAGTTGAGAGAATGGGTCAAGTTTAAAACACTGCTTAATTTCATTAGTATTGAGCCAACACAACTAGAAAATGATTATGACTATGTGTTGTGTGTTAGTCAAGTTCCTTTTAAAAATTTAAATATACAAAAAAATGGCATTTAGTATATATACTATCTTGTATGTATATGTTGTAGTCATAGCTCTACTTAGTTTGTAGAACGGTTCTTTTTAATATACCTAACGTATTTATAACGATAACTAAATCTTTTATTATATTATTTTCCTGTTCTTGCTCATTTAATATTATATGTTATTGGAATTCAAATTAAAAAATAATTTATTCATGAAGGACAATTTACCGGTTATAAACGTAAAATTTTTATATTTTACATATTCATATTCAGATTCAAGAGAAGAACTGGCAAGAAAATCAATTAAATTACTTTTTTTAAAAGAGTCTGTTTATGTACAATGTTTACTAGGATAGAATTATTTACAATGTGTATAGGTGTCTATGTCCAATATTAAATGAAGTTCTGGTGCATGAATAACTATTGCCATGCACACTCGTCATTCAAGTAATTGTTTAGCGTGTTTTGCTCAGTATATATTTATATAATCATATATATAATTTAACAGATGTTTTGAATTTATTTGAGGGTAATTCCAGTATATCCTTTGGTATCTTATTGTAAATTTTTATACCCATTCCCATAAAAGACCTATTGACTTTTTCTATACGATACTCGGGGACAGCAAGTTTTTCTTTAGATCTAGTTAGTGACAATTTTTGTATACATATAGATTATTTGAATATATAAATTGAGAAGTAACGGTAAGAATATTGAGGAATTGAGAGTGAGGGAGAGTGAGAATATTGAAAGTCAGAATATTGCCTCTTTGAATTTCTCTATCGAGTCACGACTCCTCATACACTAAATCGCTCGGATGGCACGTTTTTGTAATATGAATATAATTTTAACATCTGCCGCTTTTCCCTATAATAATATTCCATAAGACAATAATCTACGAAAATAACTATAATAGACTAATCTAGCAGTATCAGTGTACTGTCTAAACATACGCACGGCATAACCTGCTGAACTCAGTTTCGCTGAAAGGCTTTAAATTTGTGACCAGTGCAAGAGACGCCGCAAAGCATTATTTACATCGTCATAATTATTAGTCATTCTATTAACTTTAAAAATCAATGAAGTATCTGCAAATAAGACTATGCAACATCTATCCATTATATACGGGAGATCATGTAAGCTAGGATTAAATATGGACCAAGAATAGATCCTTGCGGTATACCTATTTGCACAAGTGACCCTTTAGACGTAGCGCTGCTAAAGTTATTTCCCGTATTCTATCAGATATATTAAATAATATAATAATATTATTATTTACTAAAATGATTATTATAATAATAATCATATTTTTTTTTATATTTTCAAACTAAATACGACTGTAGTCTGAGGGGCACCGCTAGGGGTTCTAACCTTGCCTCACGTTGTCGTAGCTTCAATCCTCATTTGAATGGATCATAGGGGCACTAGTGTGGAACGCTGGATGGCATGGTTAAGGTCGTCGTCCTCGCCGGCGAGGACGGCGTCGTGTATTTCTGTAGGGTCTACAAATGTACATGTGTATGCAGTCACCTTTCTTTTTAAATATTACAATTTGAAATATTGCAGGTGGTGGATATCAGGGCGACCTTAAATCTGCTCCTCCGCTATGCTCCATTCTACGTAATACTGTTTATAAAGTTTATGTACGACAGCAGAGAGGGATTGTTCACATTTCTTGTCTTGTTCTGTACATTTGCTCACTGCAACGGTCTTGTAAGGAGGTAAGAAGCTTATATTACGTTCGATTCCTCGCACGGTACAAAGATTTGTATTCATGAGTATGATTGTTTGTTTTGGTCTGGGTGTTTTAATGTATATTATGTATGTATTTAAAAAAATGTATCTACATATATCTACCAGTTGTTTAACTCGGGACTAGATGGCGCTGTGTGAATTGTCCACTGTATATTATTATTATTATATTTAAAGGTAATATATTATAACGGGTTAAAATATGTGTGTTAAAATATATAATATAATACTTTATTTGCTGGTCATATCTATGACCCAAAACCGTATCTTTTTTATAATTATTGGAGTGCAAACAAGCTTTCAGCCTACCTACTGGTAACTGGCAATAGAAGAGATTCTGTAAAAAAACTGTTACTTTTTTAATATTACTGGAATGGCAAACAGGGTTTTTGCCTACCTAATAACTAACTGAGACTAGGGATTTTGAAATTATAATTTTGAAATATTTATGCTTACAGAGAACATGGCAAGCAGATGAATAGAAGTATACCAGCTTTATTATGTGAACTTATCTTCACAATCAGTTGCATAGCTGTGGTTCACTTCTTGTTCGGCCATGAGAAACTTCTGCCTAACGTGGTGATGTTCCCAACATATACCGACTCCATTGATGCTTGGGAATTAATCTGGCTGGTTGTGTTGACTGATCTCATTGTCAAGATTATTACTGTGGATATAAAAATAATTGTCACAATGATGCCCGCGTTCTTGCTCCCGTTTCAGAAAAGGGTAATAATATTTCATATTTTTAGCAACCACATTTTTAATGGAATAGAATAGAAAGTAATTTATTCAAATAAACTTACATTGGAGCACTTTTGAATAGTCATCACATTGTTTCAATCTCCCGCTCATTCGGAAAGCTGTCTCAGCACAAGAAGAATGAGCAAGAAACTTGCGTGTTGCTCTTTTAAATAATTTTGTTGGATAATGTATCCCGTCTGGCTAATGGTTTAGGCTGGCGGGGCATTATTGATGGATTGTAATATGAATATGGGGCAAGTCAGTTAGCCTGATATAATCCGTGACAAATTCACCAGAAATATTTCATCATGGTTTCCAGGGGAACCGCATGAGGTTCAACCTGATGGTGCATTGCAAGCAATGGGAACAACCGTCCACATTAACAATCCCCATCCCCTTGTCAACCACATTAATACAATTATGAAAGTTTGTCTACACTTGTAATATTTCTATCAACTCTTTCATTTCGTAACTAATATTAATATTATTATTCATGTAATTGCGGATTTTATTTTTATATATTGCGCCAAAACTGGTCATATCATGGTTTAAATCAATATTTTCTTGTACTGCTTATTGATTCTCGCAGATGTATTACAGCCTTTTATATTTTGAGTTATAGAAACGCTATACTTTAGACCTAAAACGACAAATCTCAGTAACTATATATTGTTGGATGTTGTTGGATAATAATTTGCAATTGATTATTCCAGGGTAAGGTGTACCTATTCACTGAGGCGATATCCCAATTGTACCGTTCTCTGCTCACTACACAACCGTGGATATTTTTCCTGATGCAGTCTTATGATGGATCCGAGAAGATGGTGGGCATGTTCCTGACTTCAATTTATGTAGTTGCCAAAGTTGTTGAAGTGATAACTAGATTGGTTCTCTTCAAATATGCAACATGGACTTTATTGCAAAGTGTGGTAAGTTATACTTTTGAATATTTGTGTTTTAAGAATACAATTAATATTAATTTTTAAAGTATATAAATATTTTTTTCATTATAAATAATTTATTATTTTGCAAATTGAGATGTACTTGGAAGTCATAGTAATTATATAAACAGTTTGTATTATTTTTTAACTAACACGACTACGGTGCGGTAGTCTAGCGGTTTAGCGCACCGCTTAAATTCGCTGGTTGCGGGATCAATTCCTCTCAAGATACATTTGTAGGCATGTGTATGATTGTTTTTATTAGTTTTGATATTCTCTATATTTACATAAAAATGCATTTTAGTATTTCTATTAGTTGTTTAGCTTGACTTGAATTGTCCAGGATTATTACTTGGAATTCTTGAATTCGATAGACGTTTTTAATCGAATCGCCATATAACAACCGATTTATGTTATTTTCCTAGGAAAAACAAATTATTAACTTTTTAATTAATCAACTAATACAAATCATTTCCTGTGGTGGAAAGTGGATCTTGTACGATAATCGGAAATGCTCATTGCAATGGCTAAACCCTGGCGAACCAACCAAATCCTGCCCCAAGCGAAAATTGGCTCAAAATATGTTAGTTGTGAACGTTTGGTGGACTATTTCCGATGTTGTTCACTTCGGCTTTCTTAGATCTGGCCAGACGATTACGGCAAATGTGTATTGTCAGCAATTGAGAAACCATGATGGAAAAGCTAGCTGCTAAACAACCGAGGCTGGTCAATCATCAAGAACGCTTGACCACATAGTGCACAACAGACTGTTACCAAATTAGAAGAGCTTCAATTGGAATGAAAAAATTAGAACTTTTTAAGGCAAATGTTTTATAGTATTATATTTTATATATTATTTATTTTGATAATTTTGAATTAAATTTTTTAGGACCTTTAGCAAATGTAAACAAAAATAGTTTCTACAAAATAAAAAAAATAACATGAATGAAAACAAAAACGTTAATATCTTAAAATATTGTGCCGCCACGTAAGAAAACAAAGGGCAATTTAATTTCTATATGTCATGATTTCTCGAGTTCTCGACAATAATTTGATATAACACAATATGAATTGTTACTGGGTAATATAAATATAATTTATTACACATAAAATATGCTTTGTTAACAGAATCTCGGCACGAAACCAACTGGGGAACAACTGTTGTCTGCCGGCGACTCTTGTCCCATCTGCCATGATGACTACACAACTCCGGTGCGGCTCGACTGCAGCCATATATTCTGCGAACTCTGCATCTCTGCCTGGTTGGACCGCGAGCACACCTGCCCACTCTGCAGGGCGAAGGTCTCAGAGGAACCCACCTGGCGGGACGGTTCCACTGCGTTTAGCTTTCAATTGTACTAAGTTAATATATAAATTGATGAGGTCACAGTGTAGTCTTAAACAGAAACTATGGAACTTATAGGCATATTCTCGTTGGTCAATTTGAAGATATTGGGATGCAATTCGAAGATATTGAGGATGCAATCCGAAGATATTGAGGTTGCAATCTGAACATATTGACGATGCAATTCAAAGATATTGAGGATGAAATCCAAACATATTGGGGATGCAATTCCAACATTTGTAGAATTTTAATATACATGTCTATGTGCAAATAAGTCACACTTACGATGAATGGCATGGTGTGATGGATATCACGGATGTTCATATTACGACGTGATGACTGTTGTGCTGTGCCACTTTCTATACGGTGGACCGTGATATGTTTTTTAATGGAATGGTGTACCCGCCTGCGTTAACGGTCTACGTTGGCGGGACCCCAGTTGAGGATGATAATATGAGGTCCGGTCAGTTAGCTCATCGTGCCAATTCAAAAGGAATTTATCATTATGGTTTTAAGGGGTAACCGCGTGCAGGTCAACCTGACATGTTAACAATGGAGTCAACAGTCCACATTACTAACAATCCCTTTCCCCCGGCCGTTATGTTTATCATTCCATTCCAGTCATGTAATAACGTTGTGTTGGTGCATACTAATATATTGTTTGCATTTAGGCATGCATTCCATCACCTTCATCCTTCTATTAGCTCCTTTACACGTACACTCTTTCACGCGCGAATCGGCTTACACGCAGGAAAGAACGAGCACGTTATAGTAGTAATAGTTGTCTACAACAAAAAGAACGAGAAAGACGGCTCGCGCATTCCCGCGTCCTTCAGTCCTGCGTGCTTTAGCGTCTATTTATAATTATTAATTATTTATAATTGAAAAAGGCCGATATTTGATTATAGATTAAAGACATAATTATATAGTTACTAATTAGCTGTCAAACGTGTTTTGCCATATAAATTTAAGTACTTATATCGCTATTAAAAAATAGGGGTTGGTGGTAGAAGGGTGAAAATTTACGGCTGTATGTATTTTTAATGCTATAAAATTTTTGGGGTGAACCACCCTTAGGTGTTTAAAAATAATTATAAATCTATTCTCAGATCTATTAAATATACATTTAAAATTTCATCAAACTCGATCAAATCGTTTCGGAGGAGTATAAACATGAGAGTTTTATATATATTATTACAAGATTGAAAATTCATAAATCTCAATCTTGTCTTTGAAGAATAAAATCTATCAAAAAATAATAAATAATCTTTTAAATGACATGGAACATACGCGCTTTGGAGTAAACACAAAGAATAGAAAAATGCAATCGCTCGCGGTTGTGCGCGCTGGCTTTCCCGCACTGAATCGCGCGCGCTTCAGAACGCGCATGAAAGAATGGGTCGTGTAAAGGCTATTGACCATGATGTGCCATTTTAAATTATTGTTCTCTCTGCACTGTAGCGAGGTCATTTCCGTCTATGTTAGTATATTTTATGCATTTATTCCAGGTAGGTATTTTATTCGCACAGACAATGTGATCTATTTGAAAGCCTATGTGAATCTTTAATTGGTATATATTTAGTATGTTGTAAATACTAAATCGGTGTATATTTTACTTTTGTTAACTAATTAACGAAATTAGTAATTTATAAAGTTAACTTATATGGTGTAGTGAAAAGGGTATGATAGTTACATCAACAGAGAAATGTAAGTTTTTAATCGGCTGCTAAAAAGGCATTCTAATTAAACTAGTTATGTGATATGCGTGGCGTATTGAAAATATTCATTAAATTAATTATATTATCCTCGTGGGAATTTTTTCTCACCTTCCTTCAAACTTAAATCTATATGTTGATCCATGTTGAACAACAGATTCAGTGAAATTTCATACTAATTACTCCAGCCGTTTTACGTGCAATCTTAAGGCACAAACAGATTTTCGCCTCGTCTATTTATGATTTTATTATATGTACAGATGTACATAATTTAATGTATATAAAGTAAATAATTATATATATTATAATTTATAACAAATATGTTAGTCTTCGAAGGTTTTTTGTGTCAAACAATTAACGGAATTTGTGTACCTGCATGAGTTATGTCTCAAAGACTATAATTGTGTCATCGAAATGTATGCCGAGTCTATAAAGATTAGGGTAGACCGAGTGTGGATTAATTTGATAATAATTTGTATTGGTTGTATTGTTGAATATAAAAGTATACGTCATGTCATGTATATATACATTCCACGCTTGATAAAATACTGCACTAAATTTCAAATTATAATTATTGGGAACGAGACTTTAAAATTTAAAGTATAGAGTCGAGGTTCAATCAATTTTGAGCTAATGCAGTATTATAATAAGAAGAAATAATAAAAGAATATATTATGTAACAAATGCAATAACCAAAAATTCACTCTATGCAAAAGATAACACAATGATTATAATATCGTTTTTGTTTAAAATGCGTCGCTACCGACTGCCTTGTCTTTATATTTGTAAATAGGTTACAAGGCGCGTAAACTGTACTTTGCTTGTATTTATACATATTGGGATATTCAAATTGAGATTAATAAAACATAAAATAAAATACAAAAAGTAATAGAAATTTTCAGATTAATTATATTAACTTAAAAAAATGCTCTACGCTTGCTTGTTCAGGTAACTGAAAACACTTCTTAGGCAAATTGTTGTTATATAAATCCTTATCTATACAATAATCTATATAAAAGATTATATATAAAGGTCCAGTTGAAAATTTGTAAAAAAGTGACTGACCCGTTATGGGTATGATGTGAAGATATATAATAATCTTAAGTGGAAAGAAAATATTTACCTAGAAACAAATACTCCATGTTGTATATAAAACAAAATGGTTATTACATAAATTGCATATTATAAGCGTAATGTGATAATGTCTGGCCAAGTGTAGTTTATCAATATTGGAGTTAATATACAAACATTATTGTTAATTAATTTACCAATGCTTTATAGGACGTTCTTATTATTTAAATCAGGATACATTAACAAAGTTAAAAATATATTCTGTTTATTTTTAATATTTAGTAATTTCAATTATTTGATGATGTGGTATGCACTCCTTATTCATAAAAATGTAAACCAAATAACGATGCATCATAATACAGTACACAATGCTATGTTATCGATTTAAAATGCTATAGAGTAATAAATTTATTTTAGCTTTGGACAGTTTTATTTATATAATTCGAACTGTTCTACATCTGAAAGAAATTTCCAGAACATTGCAATGGATTTGAATTTTATGAATAAGGGTGTTACTATTTTATGATTATGTTGTTATTATATAATTTATACATATATCAATTTTGTAAATTTTGTCTGCGTTATCCAAATATTTCGAGGTTTTTAATTAATTTATATTTTAGTTATTTTTTAATTTTAACCCTTTGGGGTGGGAAGATGTAGATGCTAAGGACATGTAGAATAAAGTGGCGAAGTAAAATAAGGAATGTTGATCCCATAACCATGTGGGATATGTAGCTAGGAAGAGAGAGAGAGAGGTTTTAATAATGTATTGGTATTATTGTACCTTTAATTTTCAAAGGAAATGACAATATTGTTTTTTTAATATTTGCAAACAGTAAATTCTGTAATTTAACGATAGGATATCTATCGCAGATGTGACATTTCTTAGATAACTTTGTATATATATATATATTGTATAATACATAATACGTTAACTTGGGTACATTATTTATTGTCTTTTCACCAAATATGCTGCTACAAGAAATGTGATGTTATTTCTATTAAATCTATATGTAAAAATCGTTTAATCTAAATTATTAGATTGTGATTTATGAATATTTATGGATTTATTGTTTTTGAATATACATTTGCTCTCTACAAATTTTCCATAAAATATTATATATAATATGTAGGAGACTGGACTGGACCCTAAACTAGATTGGAGATTTGTGATCTTAGGAATCTAAGCACTCATCTGAGAAGCTTTGTGATGTTTCAAAATAATGTATTATTCGAAATCCCTAAGAACATTCCATGTATTAATTATATTCTAAAGAATATAATATAAATTTACATATGAGTAATATACCTTGTGTTTCTCTTAGCCGGGTAATCATGTTAGCGATTTCTACCCAATTTGATGGACTGTTCTTAAAAAATGTAGGAATGAATTGTTGATAATTAAATATGAATTATTGTAAAGTATACTTCTTCTTAATGTTATAAGGATAAAATTGGTGTTAAATATTATAAATATATTGCCAATCGATGCATAATTCCGCTCTTGGCCTATTTAGACTAAGGAAAATGAGGCACCCACTCAACGATAGTTTTGCATCATATTCTACCAGTTCAATTATTAATGGTCATTGTAATATGACCAATAAGTCATGACACACCCATATATCATTTCTTAATATTTCGATTGTTGGTATGAACCAATAATACGAATAAAATAAAAGTTCTATCCTATGTAATTCGTTTTCTCATCAATTGTATAACACTATACAATACTTTCATATTAACCGATACGGTATTGAAACATTCAAGAAAAGAGCTTGTATCTTGAAATCGCCATCGCACTTGCAATTCTTCTGATGTTGCGGGTGATCTTGAGTGGCGGTAATCCTTTACCTTTAAGCGAGCCGAAAGTTCGTTTTTCCCATGAGCTATAAAAATATTATATGATGACTTTGTCAAAATGTATCGTTTAATGGATGCCTAATCTATGTATTTAACATTGTCCTGTATTTCGGGTCCTAAAATGGTGACTAATTACAGGTTGTAAACATTTTAGACCATCTTGTTCTATCTAGGTCAGTCCATTATGTATTGAATTTATTAATAGTAAGAAAATTCAATGTAAAGAGATTAAATGTATTTTTAAAATTAGTTTGATTTATTAATTATGTAAACTTTATGTGCCTACCAAAAATTTTACTAGAGAAATCGACCTGCATTGATGGCGTACTCAAATGTCCAAGTGGACGTCTTCCGGGCTGCGATGATGATGATGATGATGATTGTGTTGATTTATGACTTAAATCTAGTATTGTTTTGGATTATTATGTATGTATTTGCATATTAAATATATATATTTAAGAAGAAAAAAAGAAAAAAAAATATATACTCACAATCAGTGCTTTTCAACTGTGTTTACAATATAAACAAAAAATAGATAGAATAAAATATATATATAAACTTAATTTAATATATAGTCACTGAAATTGCTCCCTGAACTTAACTTTATTGTGTGTCCTATGTGAATTGTGAACCTACCGCTAGTTTTTAGTACCACCAAATAAAAAAAACAATATGAAAAAAGAGGAAGGGAGGGGGGGGGGGGGGAGAGAGAGAGAGAGAGAGAGGAGACTACTTAAAATAATAATAATTGTAACAAAATTAGATATAAAAAATACAAACCTTATATATAACTTATTTTATATGGATGATAATGGAATGATGCTCCTAGCGCTATAGGTTTACGATGGCGGGGATCTAGCGGAGGATGATAAAATGAGTATCCTGTTAGGGTTCACATCGATATTGTCGAAAAATCTGATATTTTATATTAAAAAAAGGTAGTTTCATTATTACTCGGTATCGTTAAACTAGTTGCATGTAACCCCCACTCATATCTTCTCTGTATAAAAGGGAGGGTTTTTGTAGGCCGCGGTATTCGGTCTTTGAGCACAGGATGTGCTGGTTGTATTTTAATTGCTAAAGTGTATTGAGTTAGAAACTTAGTTAAATTAATGTTATATAGTTGTTATTTTATTATAATACATACCTTTACTAGTACATAGAGTTCATATATCTAACAATCCTGATATGGTAGCAATGGGGTTATTACTCCACATTCTAACAATCTCTTTCCCCTTTTTCTTGTAAGGTTGTTATGGTGCAATGTGAGGCTTTTTTTATGAATGATGATGGATGGTGCAATCGCTTGTGCTAACGGTTCGGGACACCAGTGGAGGATGATAAGATGAGCGTGAGGTCTATTAGCTCATCGTGATAAATTCACCAGGAATTTAGCAGTAGAGGTCATGGTGTAATATATAATAATAGTACAATACACTTAATATGTGATTCACCCTTTCATTAAATTATATCCTTAAGTTAACATACTTATAAACAACTTGTTCAGAAATACCTGATGTTTTCTGAACAAGTTGTTTATAAGTATGTTAACGACTGTGCCATGGCTAATATCGAACCACTAAGTTTTACATGTGGGTAAGCGGTAATCATCGCCTATGTACATGATTATCACTTTATCTGTTAGGCTCGTGATACCACTCAACTCAACCGTTCTAATTTAAGAGGTAGCCTTTCTAAAAAGTCGTAGTGTGTAACTCAGTCTATTTCAGCCGCTAAGCAGCTTTTAAGCTGTTTCGGTTATAGGGCGCATTAGAAAGAGAAATTACAGAATAAGAAGCATGACATCTTAGTCTTTCAAACGACAACTAATTTCGTTTTTATGTAGGTAAGCGATAACCGTCGTCTCGATACATGAATATCATATCGAACACCATCTGCAAGGACCGTGGTACCACTCATGCTTTGCAATTCCAGATTCCTTCTTTCTTCCTTCCAGACAGCCTTTCTAAAAAGTCATCTCACCTATTTCAGCCGCCAGGCTTTCTGTTGTAGGGTGCACATAAGGCAGTTACAGGATAAGAGGCATGACATCTTAGTTCTCTGGTGTGGTATCACGAATGCCGCATGATAACGTGATAGCCGTTATCCTGTTCATGTCTATAGACGACGGTTACCGTTTACCATCAGATAGGTCGCTTGTTTATCATTACAACTACATAAAAAAATATAGCAAGATTAAATATAATAAGAATAAAAGTACAAATATGTTTAATGACATTTTAATCATAGTTTACATAAGTTCACATAACATTAATTACCACTTAACATTACGTTTTGCCTACAAACGTGAAAAATTAAATAATTTAGATCATTAATAGTAATTATTATTCAAAGTATCACAAATATTTGATAGAGTAACACTGCTCTGAAAGCGAAGCCGTTCACTGTCGACAACACCGCTGATATTTTTTTTTCCGGACTACTCTAATGCTGTTGGCCGCAGCCTTTACAGCTTCACCGGACGATTTCGTTAACCATATTAATGCAAAATCGAGATGCATAGAGATGATCGTAAATGGTATAAGCCAAACTAATAACCACTTAAAATTGTACCACAGCCACCGAGATATAAAGTTGAGAAACGAAAAACTTTTTTACTTTTTATACTACGTTAAGAGGTCGCGGTGTGTATAAGATTTTAAAGCATGAACAACTAACACTGGTTTTAGATTTGGTATATATTATAGTTATAACCAACACGTGTGTTTTTGAAACTGAATACAATTATGAAACTTGTCTTTTATTATTGTCATAGATGCTAGTAATACTATTACTGTATGTATACAATATATATTATATACAATATATGTACGTAGTATACAATAAGAGTCCACATTATTCCCTTATTCCTTCATTGTTTGTATAGTGTATATAATTTATGGGCATATTTAGCAACATTGTATAATATCTCTTAAGCTAAAACTAAGGCCACTAACTTGGTATTCTTGCTAAATTCCATCAGCGACAGAGCGGTTGCTCATAGTTCACAGAGTAGAGTTACGCGGTCACGTGTAGGCACTTTGTAGGCGCAATTTAAAAAGAATGTAACAACTTTCAAGCTTGTCTCTTCCTAACTCTCCCTTATCGGTATATTGTAGTTTTTTTAACATAATTGTGTAAGAACTCTTTTCAAATAATCAATCATTTTCCATTTACATGGAATGCTATATTACTACCCGGAAAATTCGAGGTTACAGCTTCATCTTTATTAATACAACAGATTTACCCAATATTCATAAAAATGTCAAACGTTTTATTAAATTTTTAAATTGTTTAATCAGGAATAATGTGGAATTATGTAGACTGGCGATGCTACGGCGGTGTTACGTGTATAATTCTCTGACATCAAGCTAAGTATAGCTTGTGTTATGGGTACTAGACAACTGATATAAATACTTAGATATATTGTAAATACACAATATACCCAGATCGATACAAACAATCATACTCATGAATACAAATGTATGCTACGTGCGAGAAATCGAACCCGCGACTATCGACAAAGGCCGTCAGACATATGTCAGTGGTGTGGTCAACAATGAACGTGCGAAGCGTCAGTCGTAGCTCGAGCTGCCGACTGCGGCGACCGGCGCCGGCCGACCTACTGCGCAGTGCGCGGCTGATTATATTACATCATTGTGTCTATAGTCAACAACAACCTCAAAACCAAACGAAGATTGCAATTTCATCATAAAATTAAAGAGTACAATTGACCCTAGCGGCCACCATAAATTACGTAATACGTTGAGGTCAAAGTGTAATTCTGTGTAAGAGGTAGGAGAGGGTCCTAATGTAACATTCCAAAATCTATTATACCTGATAATATCAACGAGGAACTAAAGAATAGAAAACAATTTATTCAAACTTACATTGAAACACTTTTTTCTAGTCATCACTTTTTTTTTATCTACAACTTATTCGGAAAGCAAATGAATATTTCTAATAACATTGAATAAAATTGTAAAATATATTCACGTATGGCGAAGTTTCACGACGTAAATCACAGTAGATAGGAAGGTGTCTTACAATGTGACTGTTAGTTACATTTGGAGGTTAAAAAATCACGAAATTCGTGTCACGTAATAAATGTTTAACCATTTACTGTATATTATCAGTGTGAGCGAGATAAAAAACAACAGAAAGTTTATTCGACCTTATTAAATTTCCCTTCAAAGATGTTATAATTGCAATCTACATTTGGTTACAATCAACTTCGTGTGCACGTAATGGGACCAAATGTTATATAGTGGTAATAAGCGCCCGCAAGTCTTTATTCTCAAATTAATCCACCAGTCATTACAATAGGGTTCCTTTTTATTTATGATTCACAAGTCGCTAAGAATACTGTAGGCAAGGCGACATATAAGAGCTCGCTTATCCTAGTACCAGCCTAGTAGTAAATGTGTATCATGTTCATTTACACACATAGATTTACGGTACAAATAAGTTTCATTAATTTCGACTTGATAAAAATAAACCACCAACCGAATCAAACCACCACATAACACAGGAACCCATTAAGACATATCCACAGCGACAAATATAACATTAAAAATGCCAGTAGAACACGAAATCATTGAGCTTAATTGGAACTGTGACCGAGTTTCTCAATGATTGAACGTGTTAATCGCATTTTATTGCTGCAGAGACGCCTTTTTATGTACACTATACACATTGATACAATGCTTCGTCTAACAAAACAAAGGCGTGAACGTTCACAGCCTCGCACTAATATTCGATGACACGTTACGAGTAGTACAATAATACAATCGACTGTGTAAATCTGGATTGTCTATGATCACCCACAATTTATCGCCTTGTGAGGACCAGTATACACTGTTCCGTTAGTGGCGCCAAGAGGACTTATCGTCTAACCCGGCTAATACGCTAATATTTATATGATCATATATCTACGAGTCATATCTTTATTACAAATACAAAACTCCATTTCGTTATTAACCACTGCAGTATAAAACGACAATAAAAACTTGTCCCACTACATCATCACCATGAAAATTAAGTATCTCAATAATTGGCAGTTCTCTTGACCCTACTACTAGAACAAAACCTTGTGGACGCACTTAGAATGTTTTATTGGTTATTTCGAAATGTTTCTCATTGGCACATTATATCGGTGCAACTGAACTATACCCTGGGACCGAATACGAGGACGGTAGGTGCACTTCGGGCGTCTACCACAGACAGGAACCGGAACAGGAACATGAACGGTCGCACTAATTTACAGAGCGACGTTCGAGCCCGTCCAACTGTCCCGTTACCATAGTTTCAACCGTCGGCAAAGGAGAACAGATGTAAAAAATATTAATGTACCATCCAAATATGAGGAGATATACGTATTGTAAGTATATAGGATAAGGAATAAACGAGAGCGATGAACGCACAAAGTATTCCACATCAAAAAATCCATGAGTATGTTTATTTTGGGTCCGTAATTCTAATACTTTATATTCAGTCCAATAATTTTTTGGGGCTCGTAACTATACGCTAACGCATAAAGGTACGACGTCGAGCATTCTTAAATTAACCGCTAAATAAAAGCGGTACGTCTGCCCTCATATCACATTAGTTTGGGTGCACGCTCGATTTATTCCGCATTCCTAGCTACGACGGGGATGGACCGTCCTCGAGACCGATCGGAGTGGGGAGCGCGCTTCCGGTGGTGAGGTGCGGCGGACGCCGTTACGAGGGCCCGGCGCGGGTCTCGCAGGCGGCGGTGAGGAGCGCGGGGGCGGGGACGGGCGCGGGGGCGGGGCCGGCCGGGCCCGCCTCCGGGTCGGGGGGCGGCGCGGGCTCGCCGTACAGGAACAGGCTGCGGAGCCGCGCGGCGCGAGACGAGCTCGACGGCGGCTCGTCGGGCCACGACGCGGCGCTGGCGCGGTCCGCCATGTCCGCCGCGTCCGCCACGTCCGCCACGTCGGCCGTGACCTCGAGGCGATGAGCTGCCGGCGACGCGGCCTCGTGTCCGCCCAGAGAACCAGCCAGCGCGGCCAGCGACGGCGCTCGAACCTCCGCCTGCGCGGAGCCCGCCGACAGGGACGCGTCACCTGCAAACACACACATGTTTTATGATCTATGTATGTATATAGGTTTAACTCGCCTACACACAGATAACTATTTTTATAATCTGTAGGTATTATACATATATATATATCAAAATAAACTAAAAAATAACTTATTCATGTAGAATATTTTAACCGCTTCGGAATGTTGGTTTTGTTTAATATTTTTTTTAACTGTGCCTCCATATACATAAAATTAAATTCTTCATTTTACTAACATTTTATAAATGAATAAGTGATTTATAGGTTTCATCTCCACCTCGAATAGCAGTATAAGTACAAAAATATCTTTAAAAAAGTAAGATATTTTGAAGTAATAATCTGATGGGAAAAATCTGTTACCGTAGCCAATGGAAGATGGTTTAAGCATACGAGTAATACCATCGCGCTACGTAACAATGCTAGGCTCGAGTCTGATGGATACCGTAGCCTATGGAATATTGTTTAATGAAATGAATACAAGTGTAGTAAATAGTGCGGTGCGGGGTGAGTCCGGCGCGCCACGTACCGATGCTGGGCTCGAGTCGTCGCGAGGCGGCGTCGGTGTCGAGCGCGTGGTCCCTGTCGTCGTCGTAGGCGGGCGGCGGCGCGCCCCCCGCGCACCCCCCCGCGCGGCACAGCGACACCGGCACCACGCCGTACACGTAGAACAGCAGGATGGGCACGCCGATGCCCACCGCCAGCCCCGCCACCAGCGGAGACACGATCAGCTGCACACACAGCCGCTTCTTAATAACGAGCGCATATATGGACTGTCTCAGTGGTCCGGCAATCTGGTATTAACGAGCACACGCATTGGCCTGGTGGTCCAGCAGAGTTTTAGATGATAATAGAATGATGCGGCTGCATCTAAGGCAGTAAGACAGTGGACGATGATACGATGAATATGAGCTCAGATCAGTTAGCTCATCGTGACATATTCACTAGGAACTTATCAAGACGGTTTCGACAAATGAGCACAGGGAACAATGCTCTCGGCGGCCGACCAATAGCAACATCTGTACACCTTCTATGTGTGTACTTGTGGAGCGGCGGCAGCGACGGCGAGGCAGCGGAGCGAAGGTGGCTGGCGCACAATGGCAGCTATACTTATGATTATGTGTGTGTACTGGCGACGGATGAACACTGTGTGTATGTGTGTGTGGAGGCTGCATGTGTACTACAAGCGGCGACGACGCCGAGGCGGCGGCCGTTAGATCGCGCGTAGCCGGCTCCCAGCGGCGGGTGCAACGTGTGTATGGCGAGACGGCGGAGTGCATGTCGTCCACAGCAGCGGCTGCAACGCGTCTATTTGTGTGTGCGCATATTAATATAATTGTGTGTATTAACAGCAGGGCAACGACAGCGACGACAGCAAGGTGGCTGCCCGCGCGCAGCTGGCCCACACCGGTGGGTGCAACGCTTCTAATTGTGTGCAGTGGCGATAGCGAGGCAGCGACTAATGCTAGGTGTGTACGTGTGTACTGACGGCGGCTATATAGTGTTTGTACGAATGCGTATTAACAGCGGCGGCGACGACAACAGCAACAGCGAAGCAGCGGCTCGCAGATCACGCGTAGCCGGCTCACAGCGGCTGCTGCAACGCGTCTATTTGTGTGTGTGTATGTACTAGCAACAGCGTGTATGTGTATTAACGGCGGCTGGAGAAGGTATGTACGAATGTGTACTAACAGCAGCGGCGACAGCAGCAGCAACGGCGAGGCGGCGGCGTGCAGGCCTGGCGCGGCGCAGGCGGCGGTGTGCTCGTCGTCCGGCCCACAGCGGCAGGCCGACCAGCAGCGCGGGCAGCGCCACGCCCGCCACTACGGCGATGCCGAGCGGTGCACCCGCCAGCGTGCCGAGCTGCCACAGTAGCTTCTTCTTGCGCGACCACGGCTTCTTACCCCAGAACGTGCACCCGCTCGGGCTGAGGACCGAACGATGTACATATTAGAATAGAAAGTTATTGAAATAATTTAAATTTAAGCTATACTTATTTTAAAACTTTCTCGTTTAGTAAACATTAATAATATAGTTAAACGGGTTTATACTTCGAGAGTAAATACCTAAAAGGTAAACCTTTATTATAAGGTAACCTTTATTTAACATAAAATTATTTACGTTAAAACCAGTTTCACTATATTAAATTTAAGCACTTTTAATTACTGTGAGTTCAAACTACTAACTAGCACTAATGTTGGTGTTCATTTTTTAGGCGACGGTTACTACTTACCGACCATCAAGTGAGTTTGCAAGTTTGCCATTCCAATTACATAAGAATTCCTAAGTTAATGACTTTATAAAACTTAATACAATATTAAAAACACAATATTTTGGACCCAAATTTAGTTTTACATTAAGAGCAGTATCCACAATAAGTTATATTAGATGCAACAGACAAATATAAAAATAATTAGGTCTCGTTTTATCTCTGGTCCTATGTGTCCGGATAAAATAAATTTTCATCTAATAAAATAGATAAATAGTAAAAGTAAAATACTAGGTTAGGTAAATTTACCTTAGATAATGCAGATCTGACACTTCTTTCATGCAGAGCCAGCAGAACTCGGCGCCGCACACGCAACACACCATGTGGTTGCATGAGCCATCTTCCACCTTCACAATGAGGACAGAACATCGCGGACAAGGTTTCACTTCACCTACCGCAAACAAAAATCAACAATATAATATAATAATAACTAGCTACTCGCCCGGGCTTTGCACGGGTGTACATGTATTATATATATAAACCTTCCTCTTGAATCACTCTATTAAAAAAACCGCTTCAAAATCCGTTGCGTAGTTTTAAAGATTAAGCATACATATGGACGAACAGACAACAACAGCCACTTTGTTTTATACTATGTAATGATGATGATAATAAATGACATATAGTGATTATATTATTCTTTTGTATACAAAGGAGTTTGAATGCTTGAGCATTACGCTTTCACGTCTTAATCTATCTTATCTTGAAATTTTGTATATATATAAGTACTTAGTATTTGGAATGGAAAGGTACAATTTCTATCCTAGTTAATCTGGGTCACATGGACGAGATCACGAGCATAAGATAGCAATATCATAATGCATCCTTCTTACACTATCATATTGCAACAATGAAAAGCATGTTGCTTATTACTTTTGCTTAAGATACATTTCACTTTTCTGGTAAATTAAATACAATTGGAGATAAAGGTAGAAAGGATCACTTTAAAAAAACCCATTGAGTGTATTTAATATATGTTTAGGATATCTGGATTCTAGCAAAAGGTAAATGACAGGTAGAATACCAGCGCCGCGACAGTCAGCTGTTACGACATATGCTGACTGTCAGCCATATACATACATCAAAACATTATTTATATATGTATATATATATATATAACGTTTTGTTGTTGTTATGGATAACCAATAACGTTTTTCTTTCTTTCTTTGAAAAGTAGTATTCATACATTGACCAATAAAATGTGGCACAAATGTCGGACGCTTTACTAGTGTTCCCATAGTTTAGTTCTCACAGTACTATGTATTGTTATGGGAATAGGAAACCATACAATAGACGTACTAAATGTTAACATTATGGAACAATTGTATATTTAGTTGTTGGATAAGCAAATTAAAAATGTTTTATTTTTTTTATTTTTAAAACTTACATATATACATTAATATTTTAGTATGGAAATTTAAAAATAATTATCGTGTCACAGGTTCCGTGTTTATACCCCTCCGAAACGGCTTGACCGATTTTGATGAAATTTTATATTGTATTCTATATATAGATCTGAGAATAGGTTTATAACTAATTTTTATACCACTAAGTGTTAAGTAAGAGTGGCTCACCCCTAAAAACTTCTTTTTATTTATCGACAATTTTTTTTACTATGTGGCATTAAAAATACATACAAACTTAAATTTTCACCCTTCTACTACCAACCCCTATTTATTAACAGCGATTTTAATTTATATCGTGAAACAACGTTTACGGGGTCAGCTAGTATTTTTATAATATTTTCGGATGAAATTTCGAAAGGCAAATAATATAACAGTACAATACTGCTACTGTACTATACATACCATGATCGAGATCCGCGTGGGAGGGTTGGGGCGCCCGTGGTGGAGGTTGGCGGCTCCGTCTCGCGGCGTCACACGTCTGTGTTGGATGCCAGGCTGCCTTGCAGTGGTAGCAGAAGGACGCGCCACACCCGGGCGCCAGGCAGGTCAGCTTCGGGCACGATGCGCAACCCGTCGCTACCACCGCGAAACTGCAACCGTCATTGAGTAAGTTACAACATCTGTGGTCTAACTATTAAAAAAAAATGTAATCAGTTTAGTTATAACATCTATAGATATATTTAAGAACTAGCTGTTCCCGCGACTTCTAAAATAAAAATAGCCTAAGTTACTCTTTATTACATCGGTCCTGCCATTTCAGAGATTAGCCGGAATAAACAGACAGAGAGACGGACCGTATTTATATTCATATGCATGTAGTAAAAAACGGTTATTTCAATATTATATATAAGATAGAATAAAAAAAAAGTAACTTTTCTCGAGGACTATAGTATGGGATTTTTCAAGATTGTTAAGGTTTCTTAAGGTTCAGTAACGCGCACGTGACACCCCCGGGGTTTCAGGCGTCCATAGGCTACGGTAGCCTTGTTTGCCACCAGTTTGCCACCTAGGTGGTATAAAAAAATGAAAATACCTGCAGTCGGGCGCGGGGCACCACCTAGTGTCAGGGTCCGCGGCGAGAGCGCGTCTCACTGAGAATTCCTCATACTTGTCGTACAACACTGGGTTATCCACGATTCGGCGTACGTCTGCAAAAGAGGACATATTATTACCTACTAGCTGTACCCGCGGTTTCACCCGTTAAATTTCAATGTATACATTTCAATAAAAAATATAGCCTAATTCTGATGCATAAGCTATATTACTGTAAATTTTCATCAAAATCCGGTCAGTAGTTTTTGCGTGAAAGAGGAATCATAAAGAGTAAACATCCATACTCATAAATTTTCGCGTTTATAATATTATTTTTAAGAATTATGATTACTAACTGTAAGCTGGGATTTAGTAATGTGGATTAATAACGCCTTTTTTTTAAGGTTTATAATGGAATGATTCACTGGCCTGCGCTAACCGTTTTCGCTGGCGGGCCACAAGTGGAGGATGATGAAATGAGCACGAAAGTCAGGTCCGTTAGCCCATCTTGGTACATGGCAATTTACCACGATCTTTTCCGTGGAAACCGTATGAAGGTTAATCTAACATGGTACATTGTTAGCAATAGGGTTATTAGTCCACTTTACTAACAATTCCCTCCAATGAAAAGCGATTAGATGTTACCCTAACATGGTACAATGGGGAGATAAACTCCAAGACATTTGAACAACAACAAAAATCCACAATGAGCTAATTGGCCAGACCTCATGCCCATCCTATTAACTTCCACCGGTGCCCCATCAGCGTAAACCGTTAACATAGGTGGGTTCAATTAAATATTAATATTTTTTTTATGTATGATGCCCACTTTCGTATATAGTTTACGTTTTTTTTATATATACTTTGCATTTAGAAAAATATTGTATTGAAATCGGTGGTCTGAAAAATTTTATATTCCTTACAAGTTTCGTATTAATATCAACTACAACTGTTAGGGTCGTATGTAGCATATTAATTACACACTATAGTGTAAATGAAAATCGTGGTTTATCTATAAAATAAACTGTAATCAAATTCGTGCAGTTGTTTTATGGTGAATCTACATACCAAAAGTATATACACACATTTACAAACTTTACATTTTTATCTCTGTATGACACTTACGTGTATGCATATGTTACAGTAGGATTGTGAACTCTGTAGTCTATCCATATTGTACTATCAAATTGTGAATTGTTCGTGATTGATTGACGGTCGGTCATGTTTACATATAAAAAAATATACAGAGACTAACGGTGTATAATCTTAGAACACACTGACATACATATGAATATACATACATTATAAGTAAAGATCGTAAGCAAATACTTCGGAGCAGAATGGAGAACCTTCTTTTTATGTAATTAGAATGGCAAATAAGTTAACGGACCACCGGTTGGTTAGTTAACCGCCTAGATATATTTTATGAAATATCAATCACGTTATCATGCAGCCTCGGATAATTTTTTTCGAGGCGGAGTACAAACTTTCTACACAAGCAGCTTGTGGATTAACTATATACAGCAGGCAGATAGCGCTTTGAGAGTTCAATAAAATAATGTTTTCAGAGTGTTTTTGCTTTATCCGCGCTTCTGTAGTGCATCCACTATGTTTGCAGCAGCATCTACTGATGACCTGTGCCATCAGATGCAAACTGATCGCCTCACTATTGCACAGACAGCGTGGCAGCTGTAAGACCATTCTACAAATGTTGTGCAATAAATTTGACAGCCCAATACCGAAATTGTTATGGGGCCCTTAAATGATAATATGTAAAATTATCATTTAAGGGTATGACGGTGGGTCATGTTTACATATAAAAAAAAATGTAATTTTAGGTATACTAACATAGGCTAAGTATAATTGTTACTAACAAATGAGATCTCTGTTATCGGAATTAATAAAATTATTATTATAAAAACTAAAAAATGGCGTCCCTCTCTTTCGACCAACATTTATGCGATATTATTGCTGTTAATTATTGTGGCTTTTTTAACAGTTATATCTTCATCCTCAAATGCATTGAACACGAACAACTTACTTGACGTTCGTCTGTCTATGACCAAGTTGTTAAAGAAGCGTCAAAAATAACGAGTTATTTTCGAATTTTCCGCCCGGGACATGGGCCCCATGTTGCTCCCCCCCTCCCCTAGAACCGGGGCTGTTATCACGTGACACCCTGATACCACTTAAGCCTTGCCCTTCTAAGAGAACTGGCACGTCATCCTGTAATTTCTACAACCGAAACAGTTTTAAAAGCTAGTTGAGCGGTACAGCGGTGTAGCGACTGAAATAGGCGAGACTAATGTACCTACGCAGACGTCTTTATACGGTCTATGTGTGGTAATCCCCCTTTTTTAACGTTGGCTAAGTACGTGTGTGTTCTCATTATATTTGCTGACGCAGAAAACTCAAATATTTACTTAAAGAAATACACGAAAGTCGGCAACAAATAAACTGATGACTTGGAATAACCGATGTGCATTGGTAACTGTAATACAACACTGGGTATTACTCATGATTCACTTATTTATTGAGCTCACGCTATATCTTTCTTCGTAAGTGTTACGAAACACCTTATATGTACGTATACGATATTACTATTTAATATATTAATATTTCTCTTTCTAGTTTCCAATGCTGCTTTGCCAGCAAAGGAGAAAATTGTTTATATAGTTAATGTACTTATAAATTGATCATCATAAATAATGACGCCTTGGTAGTCTCGATGGTCACGGGTTCGATTCCTCGTAGGATGCAATCATTTGTATTCAAGAGTATGATTGTTTGTATGTCTATATTATGTATGTATTTTAAAAAAATGTATTAGATTATTTCTGTCAGTTGTCTAGTACCCATAACACAAGCTCTAATTAGCTTATTCTGATTATACATACTAATATTATTAATGTATAAGCGTGTCTAACACCCGTGTTACCGCTCATGCGTTAACATTCCAAAGGAATAAGATGTCATATGTCTTATCCTACAATTTCACTGTGTAATCTAACCTTACAACCAAACCATTGCTTATAAAGCAAGCTTAGCGAATGAAATAGGTGAGCGATAGTCATGCAGATGACTTTTAAACGCATATCTCGGCATACTCACATAACTCTTAGCATTAAAAAATGTATAATCAAAACTAAACAAACAAAAGACTTCAAAAAACATTCAACATTCTCTGTTAAAGCAAGCGTAATTCGAAATCACAAACGAGGAAGTAAAAGGAGTTCGAAAATATGCTTAGAAAAAAACAGTCTATCCCGAGTAAATTCAACTTAAAAAACAGGATAGGTTTTATATTCTCATTACAATTACTAATTAAAATACTTATTACAAATAAGTATTTTGATTAATTAAATAGAGTTTTATATACTGGAATAACAAAATGTACCGTTTCATTCAATGGACCGTCCATTGAAAGAAACTCACGTTCACTTTCATAACATTACTTAGTGAGAATAATAAATAGGATACATGTCTATTTACCTGAAGGATGCATATTTTCATGGCATACTGGACAATTAACTGGCACTCTTGCCTCGAATATCTCTATCGCTAGGTACTGTCGGAGGCAGGGTTCGCAGCATCGGTGGGAACACCACGCCAGCCGCACCATGCCACTCGTGTTCATTAATGACAGACATAGTGGACATTCTAGAACTTCTCCCTGCAATTAAAACAATACAAGCAAATTACAATGTAATCTTCTACCGTCTTTTCTGGGATTCATGTCAGTTGCTAATTTGGCAGTTTGTATTATTACGCGGTATCTTAAGAATGCTGAACAATATTTATTTAACAAAGTTTCTCATCTTCTCTTTATGAGTCTCGGTAGTTTTTTGGCACACATTAGTACGCAGATAGTCCTGAGAAACGAATTAAGCTACTTTTTAATGCGAAAAAAGGGTTGTAAGAAGTTGAAATGTCTTGAAAAGCTAAAGCTTGAAATTTATTTTTAGGCTGTTGATTAAATATAAATAAATATTCAAATGTAAAAATTTCACCCTTAAGGGGGAAAAATAAAATAGGGGATGAAAGTTATTATTTAAGGTAGAATGATGAAACTTTTTTTGGGTTAGATTATTAAATATATTTTCTTTATTTGTTCAACGTCATTATTCCACGCAGACAAAGTTGCGGGTATAGCTAGTTATTAATACCATAGTCAAAAGAAATTTCGAACCATATAAGATATTGTTATGATGATGTCAATTAATATAATTATTAGTTACATAGTGTGCGAGTTAACGCACAACGGGCAAACGAATTGGATCGAATCGATTGTTACGGCTGGCGGCCACGCTCTGCGAATCGAAACATTTTCGTAACGAGAGCAAATTCATAAACTTGTTGTGAACACGATAACTGGCATGACAATTTTAGTAATTTCACTTATTGCTGGCTGCTTGTTCAACTCAAGCGGAGGCAATTTAGAGCTATCTTTTTTGTATGACTAGAAATTGAAAATGTGTTTGCGTAATCTATGCAAGCGACTCATCTGACAATTATTATTACAATAATGTAGCATTATTATCTCAAAATAGAAAAAATATATAATCTCTAACTTTATTAGTGTCTGTCCATTTCTTCAGCAAAAGAAACATCTAAATATTTCTATTATAATATTATTTTTTTACGTTTTACTCCAAAATATAACAGCTCCCAAAGCAGACGCTTTGTTGAAAAGCTCAGATTCACACCATATAAGTTATTTAACTTACTCTAAAACGGGCACATTTAATAAGTGTATATAAAATTAATTTAATGACTCATTCGTTTTTGATGAAAGCTACACGGAAATTCTTAGGAACACATCATGTATTCATCACTCGTAATGTTTATCCCTTTATCACTGGACACATTTGTTACGTAAACAATACCCCTAAAAAAATTTAAGTTGGTCATTCTTTCAACACAGATGAAATCATCCCCACTTGCTAATTAGGCCTATTATTACTACTACTTTAGCTCATAAATACTTATAATACTACTTTAACTTCAAAATATTGCAACTGGATAATTATTTTAGCCTACAACCTTCCTTGATAAATTGTCGCTTTACGATAATTTAAGTACGTATTTCAATTCGTATTCGAATTCGTGACGACCTCGGTGGTCTAGTGGTCTAGCACACCGCTTTACGACCGATGGTCGCGGGTTCGATTCCTCGCACGGCACAAACATTTGTATTCATGAGTATGATTGTTTGTATCGGTCTGGGTGTTTTCTATGTATAATATGTATGTATTTACAAAAAAAAAATATCTATGTATTTGTATCAGTTATCTAGTACCCCTAACACAAGCTTTAGCTAGCTTAACTTGGGTCTAGATGGCGCTGTGTGAATTGTCCTGAGATTATTATTATTATTAATTCGTAGACCCTGAGATTATTATATGTAATCAAACAAATTCTTCAGCTTTATAATATTTTCACACATTTAAACAATATTTCTATTGCATTTCAATGCATAATAATAAAAGAAAATGAATAAAACTTCTTTAAATTTTTGTAACATTTAATTGCATTCAAGGGTAGCTATGGTTCCTAGTACTCAGACGAAAAACTAGTCTAGACGCAGCCTTATATGCATTATTATATTAACAAGTCTAGACTACATTCATTTGACTAGACTGAAACAAAATCGATTTGGCACGGATATTTATGACTTGCCAGCTTTCATTGTATTAAGAGAATTAGGATATTGTCAAGGATTTATTTCTCTTTGTGGCATTACTAGGGCGGCGCACCTTTAGGAATACGAAATTATTTAAAAAAATATAACTATAATACAGACATTTACCCTATATTGATGATAAATATTATCGTAGTGTACTTTTTAGAGTATGAATTTAGTGTAATAAAATATTTTCAGTCTAAAAATAAGACGAAGTCAAAATAAGTTTTATTGAAAGTCTTAGTCAAATCATATTCTCCTGATATACAGTTCACGCTAGTCTGGGTGTCAGGAATGCATCAAACTGTACACTGATGAAGGTTGAAACAAATAAATATTAGAAAGAAAGAACTTTACTTTGCGATATGTACAGAACCACAAAATAAATTTAAAGTTCAACATACAATATAAAGTAAATTATGTGATATGTTATGTAATAAACTCTATTCTATTCTATTCAGTCTGTAAAGTACGGCGGGGTAGGCTATATTTATTATCAAATATCGGAACAAAACAAAATCTGTAAAGTGTGTTTATAGATATATAGTGTGTGTATTACAGGTCAGTAGAATAGAAAATTCTTTATTCAAATAAATTTAAATTTAAGTTTTAAACTCTTGAACAGTCATATTTTTTTAATCTACTGCTAATTCGTACAGCTCTCTAGAAGATCAAGAAACTTGCGCTTTTAAATAATTGTTGTAACTTTACATTACATTACTTACAGTACAATGATTGTTATAACTATTAAACTATGTTAAAAATAATGATTATTATTCTCCGCGTGGAGAATTATAATCAATTATTAGAACTATAATTAGAATTATTATAAAACAATGCTATGCAATATTTTTTTTTTGAGTCAAGAGTACACTTATAATCATAACTGAATCATTTTTACACAATCATCCGTATACTTACATATGCATCATCTACAAGACACATTGTAAAGCAAATGTTTGTACAATGAAACCGGTTACCTCATAGTTTAAATCACCAAAAATATAAATCTCCCAACTCAATTACTCCACTACAAAAATTTAAGATCTCATTTAATACAAAGTATGTTAGTTAGTGTTCATTAGACCGCCTGCTCAACAACTGTTATAAATACTTAATCAATAACCTATCAACATTTAGGGCACCGTACTAATATTAGACTTATTTATTTCCATTGTAACTAGCTGACCTGGGAAACGTTGTTTCGTTATATAAATTCAAGAACTAATATAGGTATTAAAATAGGGATTGATGGTAGAAGGGTGACATTAAGGATTGTATTATTTTTAATGTCGATTCATATTTTTTTTTTGCAATACTTTTTTGGAACCACTCTTATATGATTGTATGAAAAATAGTTTAAAACATATTCTCAGATCTACTGAATGTGGTTGAAACACAAAATTTCATATAAATGGCTTTCGGATTCTGTTTCGGATGAGTCTCAGAGTCCCTATTCTCACAGATACGAGAATTTTGTATATTAGTTTATTTATAATGACTTGATGATTGATGCATGGCATAATATTCTACTAATAAAGTATTTTTATAGTAGAATATTCTGCCGCACAATTATCACGCTAAAAGATAGTATTACGGATGTCACATGATAACGTAACAGTGTTCAGCATGTTCATGTATATATATAGACGACGGTTACCCCTTACCATCAGATGGGACTGCAGCTTATTTTCATTTCAATTATATAAAAAAATCATTGGAGTTAATCTATTTTAAAGGTAAATAACAAAACTCACCGATACCTTTGTACCAGTGTGTGTAAACAATCAGAGAAAGGTGTTACAGCAGTTGACAAAGGCAAGCCAGTTGACTTATTGGTTAGTTGTAGAGTTGCATGGCTCCTTGATTACAAGGATCGCGTGCGTCATTACGCATTCTATATTCAAATCAAATTTATTGCATACAAACAAACCAACACATTATACTCTACAGTAAGAATAAAAGACACATTATTATTATTATATTTCTTTGTGTGTTATTACAATTTTTTGTTGTAATAACACAGTACACAGTATAAGTTTATGATGTGTTCTTTATGTCACACAAGTCTGAACATTACATAATGTAACTGGTGTTCTAGTAGGTCATTATAATGGCATATATGCAGAACATCCTGCTATATGTCAAAATTTAGTTTAAACGATTCTTATGGATGATAATGGAATGGTGCACTGCCAGCGCTAAAGGTTTAACGCTGGCAGGTTACCAGTGGAGGGTGATATGATGAGTATGAGGTCAGGTCAGTTAGCCCATGATTGTGGACTAATGAATCAGAGAATTCCATTCCATTTTATCTATAACTTACATACAAGAAGTTCAATACCTGAATTGAACCTGGGACAGATGAATAGGTACTAATACTATATGTACGAAATTGCGGTGTAACATGTGGTTAATCTTAATAATAATAATAATAATATTATAAACGCGAAAGTTTGTAAGTATGGGTATTTGTTACTCTTTCACGCAGAAACTACTGAACGGATTTTGATGAAACTTTACAGTAACATAGCTTATGCATCAGAATAACATATAGGCTATATTTTTATTTAAATTTAACGCGGGCACGTTAGTTGGTCTAAAATAAATATAACTTATAATGTGAAGGATCAATGTATCCATATTAATTAAATAATCATTAGTATGCTGATTATGATGAATTGATTACAGACTTCCGCAGAAATTGATTGTCATTGTTGTTATATTATTATAATTAATCACGCACGATAATAAAGATAAAAATAACCACAGAAGGTACCTATATATAATTAACCTATAAATAATAAATAACCATAGACAATTAACACAGCGCCATCTAATCCCACGGTAAGTTTATTATGGGTACTAGACAAGTGATATAAATACTTAGATGATTTTTGTAAATACATAAATAAGAAAACACCCAAACGCTAGAAACAGACTCATGAATATAAATATCTGCACCGTGCGAGGATAGGAACCCGCGATCA